TAGCCGGGTATTCTTTGAATACTGTACACCTGTACAAGCTAAAACGCGTGAAACGCAACGAGATTCTTAAGCAATGCTAAATAAAGAGCCCCAGTGCGACACTTGCATATACCAAAGGCTTTCTCAATTACTTTGTCAAGACCAGCGTCACAACGTGCTTTCCCAGAACTTCAAGCAGTCGTCTCGATCGGGAAGGCGCAGAGTAGGGGCACAAAACTATGGCCAAATTTAGAGAGTCCAGAGGACAAAACATAGAATGCCGGACGCAGGTTGAATTATTCGAAAGACCAATATAATTGAGAGATCTATATCGGGTGGGCCTAGACGTGAACTATTTGCGAGTGAGAGAGGGTTCGACGCTAAACAAATCTCGATTCAAGAAAACTATCTGATCATCAAAGTGGGGGACTCTCTTCGGGATGTTTCAATCACTCACGGGGAATATTAGGCTTGAGGAGCCGTAACACCTCGCGTGACAACTGAGTTGGACAGTGGACAGAAAGTAGTCTGAGGTTACAATCGTGCAAAATCCCTTATAGCTAGACGATCGTACAATTCCCGAGACGAGACATCTGGGCTGAAGCGTAAGCACATTCGCGCATGAAGAGCTGCTGGCTGGTACACCTAAAGGTCCACATGATAGGGGCTCGGAAAGGTTATTCGAATTCGGCAACCTATTCTTGCTCAGGATCGGTTTGGATCCTTGAGGCGACGCGGCTTGATGACTTCATCTTAAGAATGTTCCCCTTTTGTAAATGGATGGATTTTGGGTGAAGTGACGTTACGCCTCTCTGAACGCACATGCATGTTTGTCGGGATAATGCTCATTTTCAATACTGTCCAAATTTAAGGAAAGTTGCTCAGCCACTCGCGAAATCTGCATCCCTGTCTTATACGAGGTATCGTGCTCGCCTTTTCATTGATAATAATGAAGGAGGGTAAATTGGGAAACTTCATAATCGTATTCAAACAATCTTCTAAAATCCATTGTTGAGCTCCATCGAGCAGATGGCGACTTTGTAACCCATACAGCCTCGTTCATGTCGTCCCCGAAATAGAAACGCACGTGAAAATTGTAGGTAAAACTTGAAACAAAAACACATTCATACCGTACTCATCGCATCGACCTTGACACTAGCAAGGAGCAAAGCAAAGCCCTAGAAGAGACTTCTTGCGTTAGACAAACGGACGAGATAATAGTATGGTGGTGATTCCTCCTTACTTGTGAGTGATGAACTGGCTCAATTCATCTTGACTGTACTGTGTATACAGTACTGTTCCTCCCGAGGTAGAGTGAGGTGGGCCTGGGCTACGCTACGGACTATACGGCGTACGGGGTACGAAGTAGGCTGGCTGTTTCACTGTTTCACTGTTTCAGAAACATGCGACCAACCAGAAAGCCACGCTGAACACCCACTTGAGTGCTCGAGCGAGCACCAGGATACAAACGAGTCGAGTCGAGTAGTATAGTAGAGTTTTCACCGCACCCGCAGTACAACACAGAAACTGCAATGCCAACTCAACTGTGGATGGATCGTGTTGCTCAACCTGCTGTGAGTGAGTGGAAGAAAAAGGAAAGGGTAGGGGAGAGGGGAAAAGGAGAAAGGAAAGCAAGGAAAACTAAGGGGAAACAAATCAACTGATCAAGTGAGGCTGCAAACAAACAGTGCTGCCGGCAAGTGCTGGGACCTATACGGAGTATTAGCTGAAGATGCTTGAGGGCTGGACATGAGGATGGACGCTGACTCGCCTGTGAGATGGCCAAGACAGGGGAGGTTGGCTACTCTAGGCTGGTGGGTACACTGCTCTCACCGGGGTGAAATCGTTTTTACATTCACTGGTTGGCTGCAAAAGTACGGTGCCTGCATCCAGATCCTGATCCTGATCCTCGTGGACCAATCATGCCAGCGCACCCTTCGCTTTGTTCCTCTCTCACTCCACTCCCCCCTCCACCTTTTTTACGGGCCGCAGCTAGAGTAGAAATATCTTCCACGGCCTCCCGCTTCTTTACATTCCTTCCCTCTTCACCCTTTCCCTCCTTATTCCCCCTTTCCCCAAGTCAAGCCCACAGGTTCGGTCTGCAATCTATCCATTCATTCTTGCCATTCCAGTCTTTGAGATATCGCTTCTCACCACCTTCATTTCACCAGCCCCCCGCCATATTGTCCATACTGCCTGTTGCTACTTGAAGTTGCATTCAGCCTTTGTTACGAACTTTGCATTGCAGACCAACCATTTCCAACCAACAATCTCAAAACCTCTCAAAACCTTTTCAAATAGATACTCAAGCTCGCCATCATCATGAAATCTACCACTCTTGCTCTCACCACCCTTCTGGCCACTGCTGCCATTGCTCAACCCCACCGCCAACATCAACACCAACACGTCAAGAAGGATATTGTCTGGCACACCGACTGGGTCTCTGTCACAGAGACAGTAGGAATTACAACCACCATCTGGGTTGACGCGGAACAAGCCCCTGCAACCGCTGCCGCTTCTCAAGTCTCGTCCGCTGTGTCCGTCGCAGCCTCACCATCCGCAGCTGCAGTCGAAGCTGCCGAAGTCGAGGCTCCAGCCGTTGTACCTTCAGTTGTGGCCGCACCTGTTCCAGTCCAGAGTTCAAGCTCATCTTCGTCTGTTTACGTAGCACCCACTACAAGCTCATCTACGTCTGTTTACGTAGCACCCACCACAAGCTCATCTACGTCTGTTTATGTAGCACCCACCACAAGCTCATCAACCCTAGCTGCGCCTACTTCCGCCGCATCTGCGCAATCATCTGCTAGCAGTGGAGACTCTCACGGGCAAACGATTCCCACTACCCCCCTAGCAGGCTCTGGCCACAATGGAATTGGCACTGGTATTGTTACTCCTACATGCGGTACAGCCGGCTTGGCAGACTGTGCTGGAGACATTACATATTACGAATCCGCCGATTCCTCAGCTGCGCCGTCAGGGTGTGGCACTACTAACGATGGAACCGTGGAGAAAGTAGTTGCGCTGTCCAAGGACATGATGGGTACACAATCAAACAGTGGTGTTGGAGACGACGCAAACCCATACTGCGGCAAGACGGTCACTATTATTTACGGCGGCCAGAGCGTACAAGCCAAGGTTGTTGACAAGTGCTGGGACTGCTCTTACTCGTCCATCGATCTCTCACACGCGGTCTTCGAGGCCTTGACCCCTGACTGGGAGACTCTCGGTCGACAACAAGCAACGTGGTACTTCAGCGAATAAATCATCGATCGGTCTTGATGCATGGGAGTCGATCTCTCGGCATAGGACATTTAGTCGCTAGACGACTTTACGAGTTTCATTTGGCTTGGTTACAATTGGAGAAATGGAAAGGGCGTCAAGCATTAGCATCAGGATATCAAAAATCAAGTGATGAGGGGTGCCTGGAGCACATATTTGGAGGAGAGAGTGGCATAAGGCTTGCTCGTCTTCATTAGACTTTCAATGTAAATATTCAGACCTTCGGTGTAGATGAAATAGCTAGCAATGCATTATCATTGCACACATTATAACTGTAGCCCCGTGACATATCTCAGCTATCAAGTTTACCGATTTGCTATCCAGCAAAGGGTCTGAAACAAGGGGTAGTTCCCAACATTCCATTATAGGACATCAGTGTTGGTTTCGCGGTTCCGAAGACCTACAGTAGCTCGGGCCCTCTTGCCATCAACTATTGAGGTTGTGATGAGGTGGGCGCTTAGCACTACCAACGGTGAAGGCTAAAAATACGACCAAAGCATGCTTTGTGGTTGGCTAAGCTGGATGTCAGTATATGCTTCGACTGGGAATGTGCTGGGGATTTATTTGTTGGAGACTGCTATATTAATGCCTTGATCCCGCCATCTATACATCCGTTCATCCATCTATCCATTTATCTATTCATTTATTATCTACCCTTTTCAAAAACTCAGTTTATCTATTATCCACCCATCTATCATGTCTCCCGCATTGATAAACAACACCAAACAATATCTCAACCGTCTCGGCTACGAGAAAACACCTGATAATACCCCCCAGCCCATACCCAAGACTTCCAAACCAACATCCAAACCATTCCCAGACTTCTCCCTCACCAGCATCCGGAGGTAAAACTTCACCATCCTCCGTCCCCTTTCCCCTCTCCCCTTTTCCTTTCACAAACATCTAACATCGGAAACCAGAGACCATGAAAACAGCCCACCAAGCCAGCGCTTCTCCCTCGCATCCCGCACACGCCTATCCCTCAAACACAAGCCAATGCCAAATCTCACTGCCTGTGAAGTACCGTGGTATCTGGAAAGCGGTTGTGGTAAAGAGGATGGCGATAGGAATAAGGCTGTGAGTAGCGCTGTGAAAGAGGAATTGCTTGCTTTAGTTGAGACGCTGTGGAATGATGTGGAAAGTGGTGCGAAGAGTTGGTAAGTATAGTTGCACTTGCACTTGCACTTGTACTTGTATTTGCTGGTTTGATATTATGTGCAGCTAGCTGATGTGGGAGAATAGTTCTATATGTTCTGAGGATCCGGAACTGGGATATAGAATCAACGTGCGAGTGCAGACGAAAAAGAATGTGAAGACGGTGGTATGGGGCAAGAAAGAAGTTTTAGCTGTTTACATTGTTGTGATAGGAATTGGAGAGGGGGCGGTTGAGAAGGCTACTGTGTTTGGGAGTGGGAAGGCGACGAGTGTTTCTTGGTTTGGGGTGGGTGTTCGGTGGGCGGTTGATCTGACTGGTGATGGGAGGGCGGAGAGGAGAGGGTTGGTGGGGATGTTGCTTGCGTTCAAGAGGGAATTGGGGAAGAAGGAAAGGGTGGTGGGGGTTTATGATGAGAAGATGCCGTTGCTTAAGTAAAGAAAGATAGCTGGAACTATCCGTAGCGTTTTGTATAAGACTAAATATTGCTTACTTACTTTACTGTTCATACATACCCTTGGATGAAACTTGATGCTGTATTTCAAACGCTTTCAATCCATTATTCATACACATATATAATATTCCCCTCCTACGATGCTGGAGCCTCGCTTTCAGCCGGGATCAAAACCTTCTTCTCCTCCAACATCTTAGCTAGCTCCCCATTCTGGTGCATCGCCACCAAGATGTCGCATCCACCCACAAACTCTTTCTCGACGTAGAGTTGCGGTATCGTTGGCCACTCGGAATACTCCTTGATGCCTTGCACAAGTCAGTCAATCTTCATATCCTGCAAGCCTTCTATTCTTCTGTTACACACCTGCTCTCAAATCCTTATCCTCCAACACATTAAACGCAGTAAACTTTGCCGGATCAACACCCTGCAGTCCCAAGATCTGAATGCTGGCCCTTGAGAACCCGCACTGTGGTGTTTCCGGAGTCCCTTTCATGAACAGCACGACGGGCGCGGAGCTAACGGCTTTGTCGATCGCGGCTTTTGTCTCTGTGGAGAGGAAGCGCGCGGCTATGGGTGTGATTCGTGGGTAGGAGAACTTGGATGCGAGTGTTGGAGCTGGTCGGGCTGCTTGTCGGAATGCCTAGATGTCTGTTATTAGTGTTATCTTTCGGGGAGTAGAGGAGCTAGAGCTGGGAGGCATACCGATGATAGAGGTCTGGAAAACATCTTTGTGATATATGATGCACTTTTGTGATGAAGTTTAAAGATAAAGTTGGGTTGCCCGAGAGCTTGATGATGAATTCAAATACGGCTGACCAATCAAGGCTCAGTAATCAGACAAGGCTGAGTGAACATCACATCGTATGACGGAGATAATCAGTTCCTCTCTCCATCTATAAACCAATAACCAAAAACCAAAAATGAGTTCCCATAAACCACCTTGAAACCCCTCATTAAAGATAGCATCTTCTACAAACCGCAAAAATGCTACAAATGATCCACCCAGAACACGACGAACACCGCACCCAAATATCCGGCACCCCACCCCCCTTCACAGCATCCTCACACGCCGCCGACGGCAAGAAACATCTACTATTAGCAGCCAGCGGCTCCGTAGCAGCCATAAAAACCCCCAGCATCCTACGTGCCCTCTCCACGCACTCCAATCTCTCAATCCTGCTCATCCTCACCAAATCCGCGACCAACTTCCTCGGGGGGCAGTCGGCAGAACAGCCACACCTAGCTTCGCTACGGCAGATCCGCAACGTGGATGGCATTTTCCAGGACGAGGATGAGTGGGTGCATCCGTGGAAGCGCGGGCAGGGGATCCTGCATATCGAGTTGAGGCGGTGGGCGCATGTGCTGGTTATCGCGCCGCTGAGCGCGAATACGCTGGCCAAGATTACGGGGGGGTTTGCGGATAATCTGTTGACGAGCGTGGTGAGGGCTTGGGATACCGAGGGGGTGGTTCAGGGGCTAGGGCAAGGGCAAGGCGAAGGAGGGAAGAGGAGGATCGTCGTGGCGCCTTCGATGAATACGGCGATGTGGAAACATCCGGTTACGAGGAGGCAGATTCGGGTGTTAGAGGATGAGTGGGGGGTTGGGGATGAGGACGGGGATAGGAGGGAGGGCTGGTTTGAGGTACTGAGGCCGCAGGAGAAGGAATTGGCGTGTGGGGATGTGGGGGATGGGGCTATGAAGGCTTGGGAGGAGATTGTGGGGGTTATTGAGATGAGGTTGGGTCTTGAGCAATGAGGGATGTCATTGGGATTGGAGTTTTGGGAGTAGGGGTAAAATCATTGGGAGGCAAGGTTTGTGATGAGACCTTGTGATAAACATCTTGGAGTAGTTCCAAATCAAAATCCACGGTTTACTCAAGTTTCGTTTCACTAAATGTTTTTTTTTTTGGTTCTGTCAGTTTTCTAGGTGTTTCCTTTCTGTTACTAACTACTTCAATGGTTGATGGAATTTATGAAGGGTTGAATAATCATAAAGAGGTAACATCTGATCTGCATTGCGGTATAGCATGAGTGAGAGTTGTTTATTACCACCTAGTAGGGATAAGCATCACACATTCATCTTGAGCATTTTCTTGTATACTTGAGAGTGAATAGCGGGCAAGGTAATTGAATTTCTTACTTCTGTTTACTTACCATGGCCTAGTGGCAGATTATATTGCTTGAAGCAACTCTTATACCAGAATCTTGAAGCATAAAGAATTATCTACAGCATAAATAGTCATTGAACGCTGCTGTGTAGGCAGTTGCTGAAAATGCCCGCTCCAATAGGAGTGAATATGGCGAGACAAAAATGACGAACAGGAATTCAACTAAAAATATGAGATGAGATGACATGAAGATTTGGTAAATATGCTTCGTAGGGTTCTGGGCTTCATCTGGATTTCTACTACTCAGAAAGAATTGTTCGAAACCGACTGACTCCTCTATCCATGTTCTCGTCTTACGAAGAGAAGCTCGCGAGTAAACGCAACTTCCTCCTTCGCCAAACGAACTCACAACCAACAGCTTCACACCAAACAGCTTCGGAAGGGAATCTCTCCACCAACACGCATCAAACTTCAAGCAAGTCTCCCACGCGTCAGTATGGCTCGCAACGTCGCCCAACCAACCCGCAAAGAACATGCTCAGCACTCACCCCATGACGATGGATTCCTGAACAAGGCCATCAGAAACAACACCAGGACAGGTCCGGTAGCTCAACGCCCAATCAAAGAAGCCAAACCCGTTGAAAAGCACCGAAAGCCCCGGGAGACCGTCTCAGTAGCAGGCGTGTTCAAGAAATCCAAGACCAACGCACGTGAGAAGAAACACCAGCATCGCCGTCGTCGTCGCTCGCCTTCACCTCCAAATCTTCTACTTGATCTCCAAGGTACCCTACATCACCAATGCACTTCTGTTCCCAGCAAAACCATTCATTACTGACATTCTGTTTTGGTATATACAAGATGGTATCGAAACTGCCCGCACCGCCTTATTAACCAGCACCAAAACAACCTTCACAGACATCCACGCATCATTCACCACCACGCTCACCACCTCCCGCGAAGCCGACGAAGCGTTCTTCCAAGAAGTCTCCGACAGCGCCATAACACTGTCTGCGCCGTTGGTCGATGAAGAAGTCTTTAGCAGCTTTACCCGCGCCGATGGAAAACGTTCTCGGGAGACTTTTGTCATGGGCGAGCAGATTGAGATGTTTAAACAGTTGTTGGAGAAAGAGGAGGCGCGGTTGGCTGAGTATTGGAGCAAGTGGGAGGAGTGCCAGGATGAGTATGTGAATCTTGGCGTCGAGGTCTTTGGGGCGGAGGCTTTTGGAGAGGATGGGAAGGGGGGTAAGGAAAAGGGATGGAAGAAAGAGGGGCAGTTGAGAGAGGCGGAGTATGAGGTTGCATTTGGTAAGATGGAGGAGGAGGTTGGGGAGATTAGAGGGGTGTTTTTGAAAGAGATGAAGGATTCGGAGAAGGTGAGTGGTGTGGCGGTGGTGGGCTTTATCATGATACTGACATTGGCTTTAGGTGTTGGATCTTCAGGCGAGGAAAGAGCAGGCCAGACTTCTGCAAGCTCTTATCCAGGACTAATAGGATGCGGAGATTGAGGTCATGATACTATCAAGTGTTATGCTAAATTCGGATGTTATTACGTACGTGGCAGGAGAAGGGATATACTATGCTCTGTTGGTTGCTCATATCGGAGGTCAATTACGCGGGGTCCCATTATAGATTTGCATGTACCGGGCTTATTCATAAATAGCTATTGTCACTCCAAATTAACACCATTCTCGTTAGCAATCACTTCCTTGACTTTCGTGCAAGCACATCATGGCATTGGAGATTATATGACGATAGTTGTAAATCTTACGCATCTATTATAGTCTAAGCGGAGTTTACCTCTGAACAGTGGAGTAGGTCTACCACCCATTCTACATTAAACGCCTCTTCTACCCCGGACGCCAAAATACAAGTATCACTATCACCAAGTCAACAATCCCCCATCAATTATCAACCTTCTCATCGATAACAACACCCCACTCGTGCTGGTCCTTCCCGTACATGATGTTTACAAGCCAGTCCTTGATCAAACCGGCGTACTCGCCAGTCTCTCCCTTGGCCATAGGAATCTGGAGGTCTTCGCCCTTGTAGCTAATGACGGAGACAGGGGAAACGAAATACTATTGATAGTAAGCGTGAGAAGAGACCTTGAGAATCGAGAAGAAAACTTACAGCAGTGCCAGCAGCGAAAGCCTCAACCATCCGACCCTCCTTTACAACCTCAACAACCTCATCCATAGTGTACTGGCGCTCGACAACCTCAATAGGATCCAAGCCCGAAGAGTTATCAGAAAGCCTCTCGCGTACCAATTGTAAGATACTTCGGCGCGTGACTCCATCGAGGATAATCTTGCCGCCCAACGGCGCAGTAACCAATTGCAGCTTCCCCTCCTTCGACCTCCACACCACGAAGAAATTGCTTGCTCCAGCTTCTGTAACGAGACCGTCCAGGAGCCAGAGAACTTGGTCATAGCCGCGGGCTCGGGCTTCGCTGTTGGCCATCAGAGAGGGCCCGTAGTTGGCTCCCACCTTGGCGTATCCGAATCCACCGGGCCACGCCCGGACTCCGTCTTGGGATGCGAGTAGCTTTAAGCCGTTTGGTGAGGATAATGAGGGCATCTGCAGATGTTAGTACGGGCTGGATGTATTGCTTAGTAGTCGGAGAGAACTCACGAATGTTGAGATGATGAATAGAGTTGCTTCCTTGGGAGCAGCAACACCAAGAGCTCCTCCTGATCCAATCATGGTGGGTCTTCCAAACACGTTAGCAAGGAACCAACCTCCAAAACAAAGGCTTTGTGATTTACCTCAAGTACAACAAAGTGCCCGGTTCTGGTAACCATTTTGGCCCATCCACAGCTATCATAGCGATCAATAACTTTTCGAGCTCCTTTGGATCGAAGCCGGGCAACGAAATGCGTGTCGCGGAAGTCAACTGCTCGATTGTTAGATGGTGTCTTGCATATTCCAGTTTCAAGGGAACTTACCATGCGCCTGCAATTGCAATCTGGTCTAAAGAGTCTCAGCTTCCCATCGTATCCTCTATACATCTTAAGTCCCTCAAAGCATTCCGTAGCGTAGTGCAAACAAGAAGCAGTAGGAGCCAAAGATAAATTTCCGTAAGGCCTCAACTCTGGAGCATCCCATCCAGTGGTAGAGTTCCATTTAGCAGTTATCATGTGATCAGTGCACTGCGACGAGGTAGCTATGATGGGGTCTCCTGCTCGAGGGACGTTCATAGGAGTCGTTGTCCTTGTAAAGATCAATTTGGACGCATCGAGTGAGCGGAGGGAGGTCTCCACGCCATTGGTCCCGTTCTTCAATTCAGGAGCTGTCTCAGCAATCTTGTGGGCGATTGCAGAGGCTGTGAGTTCAGCCGTTTGCTGAACTCCTTGTGGTGGGGTTATGGCTGAAGGTGCCATTGCGTTAATCAAGTAGTTTGTTTGCCTAGCTTTTAGCAATGCTTGAGGAAAGTCTGAATACTCAATGGCAGTTTTGTAATGTATTTTGACACAATTGAATGAAAGAAAGAGAGAGAGTTATGGAAACACTTTATACTGAGTCACACAGAAATATTTGTCTAGCCCTGGTCATAGTGGAGTTTTCCACGGAAGGCAAGGCAAGTGTCACAAGGGAACAGTACGAAAGTACATGCGGCCACTAAGCGATAAGGCAGGGGGGAAAAGTGCAAACTTCCTTAAAAACTCTTAGGGAAAGCTCCACTTTAAAGATTTCACACACACTTTTATCTCTTACATCGTCTTTATCTAGGACCGGCGGTCCCACCATTTTTTCACCCGAACGGCGGGGAAACGGGGTGGCGCCAATAACGAGGCACATAGACGTCCTGTCAGACAGAGCTGGATTTAGTCCTCAACACGCCCGATATCGCCGGTCAAAGACATGTACAGTAAAGGGCGTTAGTTTCCACTCCAGAATCCAGGATTTGTCGTTGATTCTAAAGAGGCATGCTCAGACCGCTATGGCTTTCCGCAAAACGAGATAGGATGGGATTCATTCCGTCCCTAAAAGTACCTGCTTTAAGACGACGGTAGCCGACGACATCCGCCACTTGCCTACTAAAGAACCAGACATTGATATTGCATTGATTGGTTGGTCTATGAGAATTTGCGAGGTTCTATTATCAGGTACCTAAGGGTCCCCTCTTCCATAAGACCCCCGAAATGGTCTGAAAGGCCCTAGAGCTCTAAGTGATTGAATAGCTCGTCTCGTCTAAAGTCCAAGGCTTCTTCTTTCTTACCTGAACTACAAGTAGGACTTGACATTATCTCATTAGCCTCGTACTATGATGTTAGGCTTTCGTTCGATTGTGGTAACTCTATGTTTAACGACTTTAATTTCGCTCAATTATCATTCATCGCTATTTATTGGGTATTCCTCGTGGTGTTGAACGCCGAAGATAATGTACACACAGGTTCTAGGACGTAGCCTCTTCCATCTATCCCCATCCTTATGATGTGGCTCTGTTTTCCTTCAACTTTTGCTCTTCTTCTAATTTTTCTCTTGTCCGTTGAGCATCTTCCCCAATTCCCTTTACTCCTTTGACACGTTGTCTCTCCTCATACATGTCGCGACTCTTCATAATTCTTTGCACAATCTGGCCGGCGTTGACGCTGGCGAAGTCATGCATACCGATTTCTTTATAGATGCCCATATCCTTAGGTACAATATAGGGATCATATGTAAGCGGCATGAAGCTTGTCGGCCCGTGGTATACTGCATCCGGGGTACCCCAAGGGGTGGAAGTGAGATAAGCACGGGTTGGTGTGAATGGAGCTCCGAATATTACGGAATTGATATACTGTAGACCATTAGACGATCGATTCACTAAGAAATCAGGCTGCTTACCTTGCATTGCAGAACGCATAGACCTCGCTCATAGATGTTCATGATTGGATAATTGACCCCTTTCCAGTGATTAATTACCTCGTCCTCATGAACCCCAGCAACAACGAATGCCGGTCCATAATCCGCGCCTTTCCCAGTTCGCTCCTGGATGGCTTCTTTACTGTACCATCCTTCATCCTGACCAATCTTTTCTTCGGCCTTGATCACTTGGCGGAGAAACTCGATATGGCCAGAAGAGAAGAGATCAAATCCGCCATCGACATAGACAACACGCTGACCTGGTTTTGGTTTTGAGCCTTGGCAGAGGGAGCTGAATACGCCTTTCTCTTCAACTGTATGGTTTTCTCTTGCCTCCACAGAGGCCGACCAATTCCAAATGCTGGCGCCAGGATGAAGACCAGTCTGATCCGTGGCATAGAGTCGCATTCTCTCAGCCATCGCCGCTCCTTCCGCTTTCTTGTCTTCTGCTGTCCCTGAGCCTTCGTTTCCGGCTAATAGGCTGGTTAACGATTTGATGAAATGAGTACGAGTGCAAAGCAGCATCCTTCCAACAAGATCCGTTGTGGAAATACTAGGCGTTCGCTTGACAACCTTGAAGCGCCCAGCAGCCTTCACATAACGATAGCAATCCTCTCCACTGCTATCAGATGTAATATCATCTCCATGAACCACATACTTGCAGCCGTAATGAGAAATCCACGGTAAGGATGTAACGTACGGCGCATACGGCACCGATTGTGTGACCCATCGACACGCATCAACCGCGGCGATTCTTGAAGAAGAGAATCAGCGACTTTGTCCGGGAGTTGGCGTTTCTTGTTTTTGTTTACCGTTCTTCCAAAGTCATGACCGTAGGTCCTTTATTCTCCAGGATCGCCTCATCGGAATGTATACCGACGAACAGCTCTGTACCCAACTGCCGAGCTTGCAGCATGGCACCGGCATGTCCTTGGATTATAATCAGTACCGGGGGGTTTCAGAAGGATTTTGAAGGATTAGAGCAACGAACCATGGTGGAAGAAGTCCCAGCATCCATCAACCCATATTCTTCCTTCTAGTATTTCCGCAGCGGGCTCTCCGGGAGGGTTGTCATTCTCTAATATTTTGTTGGTAGCCATGGCGCAGAGGATGAAGTGTTTGAAGATCTTTAGATGTTGTTGCACCTCAAAAGGTGGCGGTATTTATCGATGAACGAGGGGTAGCTAATCAACCAATCAAAATGTAGTTGAACTGTGTGGACTGCGAGTACCTTCCAGGCCAGGCACCCTGAGTTTCGCATTGGCTTCATCACGACGCAGCTATTGACAGAGTTCATAATTATAGTATAGGATTATCACTGCCGTAGCACTGTTAATGAACATGTAGACTATATATGGCCATGGTTGCCTACCCGCCACTTCCTCCTTATGTTTTTCATTAATTGTACAGTACTGTACTGCACGCTCCTTGTGCTCCTACCAGCCCAGCCCAGCTGTCCAGCTCAATTGCACGAAACCAAGCGCTTGCCCATGCATTGGGTGTGATGGCCCTGAAATGAGATTCCTTTTACGGTATTGAATCTAGACCAAAACTCAGTTCAGGCGCTGATTCTTCCTTCTTCTTCCTCTTTTGAGATTCAAAAATCAAATCGATTTATATATTTGCGCAAACGCTGGTACAACGAAGAATTGCAGTTGGGGTTGAATAAAGCACGGTAACGAGTTAGTGGGGGTTATCGTATCGTTACCCCTGAATCCTTGCCGACATGCAGCGCAGCGCGACCTCCACACATGGAGGTGGGCTATTTTCAAAGTTTGGGGGCACCAAGACACCAACTTCCACGAGGCCGACCACGAGTAGCGAATCGACTGACACGCATCTCGAGTCGACAAGCAGTTACCCAACGTCACGGACGAGTACATTTGGGCGGGCAACGTCTTCTTCGTCCCACTCAAAGTCTCAGCGAAGTCGGAACAACTCCATTTCTAGAATCGCAGTCCCCAGTCTCTCCCCAGAAAAACGCGCCCATTCTGCCACACGTTATACAGATTCCAGTCCCTTACCGGTCCGCGTGCCCAGTCGCCAGGATACAGAATCCTTGCCGAAGTCTGCGGAAAGCTTCAGACAGAGAGCTGCAGGTGCGGAAGCTGTGCCAGCTGCGCCGTCACGCCCTGCTTCGGTGGCAGAGTCCTTTACATCTACGACTCCATATTCGAACATGCTAGTCAGAGGATCTACAAACCCAGCTATGGGGTACAATGGCCCAATGCCAATTACCACGCCTTTGGCGCCCCAGAGCCCGACATTAGAGAATATCACATATCAGCATATCCAGGAGACGAGTTCGAAGAGAATATCTACTTTAGATTATTTGAGGAAAGCGTATGAATCCCCTTCAAGCCTGTGTTGTCCATATACTCACAGTTGCTTAGACACGAAGGAAGAGTATACTGGTTCAATACATTATTATTCAACAAACCAGATCTGCAACGAATGCCATACTTTGATACCCGGAAACTCGCCCGGCGCGCGACTAATTATCTCCTACTAGGTCTCTCTATCCCGACAGTAGTCGATCTCAGTTCCCAAACCGCAATAGAATTCCTAAGAACCTTAAATGCCCTTCTCTCCGAATTCGAATCATATCAGCAAATACACCCTTCGGACGGATCGACATCGACATCTTTATCGCGGCGCGGCTTTCCACAAATGTTCAAGAGGGCAACTACGAGTGGAAATAAGGGACGAAGGACGAGTTCTGCGGCGGAAATAGGGCTTCCGATGGGCAACGATTCAGCTGGAATGAAATCGGCCAATGGAGGTGGTGGAGGAGAAGGCGGAAGTTTTCCTATGGGCGAGACGGAGCTTCTCCCAGGAGAGGAGTACACATACCTTTTAACCCCATCATTACCATTCGATCCGGATTTCTACGAAACGTTTGCGACGCTGTGCGATGTCCTGATCGATTGCTATACGAAGCTTATGAGCCTGGTGGCTTCACCCAAGGAGTGCAGCCCGGTTGTAGCCGAAATGTTTACCAAGGCTGATGCTAGAGTGAGGAAGATTATTGTACAGGGAGTGGTGAAAGAGTTTGAGGACAGCAGCAGGGCTGGTGTAAAAAGCGAGGTTGCTGGGGTGGGGAAAGTAGTTTTGGGCGGCTTGATGTAAGGATTTGGTTACCATGATGAATGGCGTTGCGTGGAAGACGGTTATGGCGATATGATTTATGGCATGAAATGAAGGATCAATAGAACGCCTATAGACAGCTTTGTATTTGCATATAAGATGCTCACAGCTATATTTATAAATTTAATCGGCTCTCAGCCCTAGCTTGAGCCACATAACCAACATAAAGAGAAAGATTTGCTCATCAGATACCATAACGCATATGAGGTCAACATACGTGGCAACCGCTTTTTACACGGGCCACATTCAGTGCTTGACTCTATTGGTAATCATCACTTGAAACAGACTGGAGTCCAGCTCCTTCGACAGAGCTTCTGAGACGGCATGCCTTGGACGTGACAGGTATCTTTCCATGAAGAAAGACCCAGAGTGTTTGTCCCGATCCTCAACAAACATCCCCCGCTTTCCTATAAGCTATAGACCCAAAGAAAAAAGTATGGTGAGCTTCCTCGCATCAAGAATAAGCCCCATCGAGTTACCCCTTGCACCACTTGCATGGCATGAGAAGGCAATCGCATAACTATCGATCTCGACGAAAAAACCTCCACTGACCAGAACATCCCCGCCACGCCAAGAACAGTCCAGACACCTTCCGCAATCTCACATCCTCTAGTCCCAAAGAACATCGCACGAGAAGCTCGGACTCATATCTTCGTCCATGCGGTCTTCTCAGTTCAGAACAAAGGTCCTAAGATCAACAAGAAGGCGGTGCAAACGGTGAAAGGATGGAGGAAGGGACGAGAAATTGGTAGAGGAGAAGGCCGCAGTGCTTCTGTGGCGGCGCGTTTCCGCAATCCTTCTGAAAGAAGGCTGTCCGGGGACTTTCTCCCAAAGCATGAGTAGCCATTGCTAGCTGAGATATTCCGAGGAATTTCTCTGTTTGTGTGCTTCGAATGCGATTCTTTGAGCGAGGAAGTTGAGGAAGGAAAGAGGAAGCTTCACGAATTTTTTTTGGAACTTGAGGTGCTTTTCCCCTTAGCGTCTACGCATTGGGCATAATACAGCCCGTGCATAGCAACCAATCATAGCCGCAAGCGGTCGTCGCGGAGGCGCGAAACTTCAACTTCTCTAAGACGTTGCCTGAAATAAAGAGAGCTTCCCAAGCAGGACAAACCCCCTTTCCTCGTCTCCAAAGCTGCCCAGCACCACCGCTTTCTGCAGCAAGTTCTTCCCTGTACATCAAACCCTCAAAATGTCAGGACTCTTCGGAAGCCAGAGCAGCACTGCGAGTCAAGCAAATACTCTGGGAGATCTTTCTAAAGACGTAGCTCTTAACCAGCCACCAAGTGACAGCGTATCCGACCTCGCCTTCTCGCCGCGCAGCGAGCATCTGGCTGTAGCTTCGTGGGATAATAAGGTCCGGATCTACGAGATTACGCAGAATGGAGGAAGTGAGGGGAAGGCTGTTATTGACCATGAGGGCCCGGTGTTGAGTTGTCACTGGTCTAGTGTAGGTGAACAGCCATGAAGTAGGAGCAAGCCAAATCACTAACATATCTCTAGGATGGTAAGCAAGTCGTTGGAGCAGGAGCCGACAAAGCTGCCCGATTGCTTGACCTGGGATCTGGAGCGAGCGTTTCACAACAAGTCGCTGCGCACGACCAACCTATTCGATCCGTACGGTTCTTCGATGCCCCAAACTCGAACGCGCAAATGATTGTTACGGGATCTTGGGATAAGACTATCAAGTATTGGGATTTGCGCTCGTCGACTGCGGTCGCTACCGTGCAATGCCAGGAGCGAGTCTATACCCTGGATGTGCAGAAGAACCTGTTGGTTGTTGGCACTGCGGACCGCTATATCAACGTTATTAACTTGAGTGAGCCGACGAAGTTTTATAAGACTTTGCAGAGCCCATTGAAGTGGCAGACCAGAGTTGTTAGCTGCTTTCCAGACGCCAGTGGTTTCGCTGTAGGAAGTATCGAGGGTCGATGTGCAATCCAATATGTTGAAGACAAGGACGCCAGGTAAGACTTAAATCCCCCAGATTAAAAATAATTACTAACTAGAATAGCTCCAATTTCTCCTTTAAATGTCACCGCGACCCCCCATCTAACAACATGACGAACGTTTACTCCGTCAACGCCATCTCTTTCCACCCCGTCCACGGCACCTTCAGCACCGCCGGCTCAGACGGTACATTCCACTTCTGGGACGGAGTAGCCAAGCACAGGCTAAAGGGCTACCCAACCGTCGGCGGCACCATCTCAGCAACCGCGTTTAACAACACCGGTGGCATCTTTGCGTATGCTGTCAGTTACGATTGGAGTAAAGGCTATGCCGCCAACACCCCGCAATATCCGAACAAGATCATGATGCACCCTGTAACACCTGAAGAGTGCAAGCCTAGACCGAGTGTGAAGAAGCGGTAGAGTGGGCGGGGTTTGGTTTGGGGTTCTTGGGATAAAAAAAAAGTTTATGAGGGGACGAAGGACGAACAGGAATGTCCTGTGTATCAACTGCTAGCTTCTTATTTTGCATCAAGGGTGGAAATTATGGCATATGGGGATGAATGAATCCAAGGCGTTAAGGATGACATTTTGCAGCGACGAATACCACAGCAGAACTGAGATAGGAATGAAGACCATAGTCAACCTCAAAAATGGATTTATGACAGAATAATAGTGCATTTATTGTTTCTTGTGAAGTAAGTCTTGCTCCTTGTGCCAAAACGCCCACGCCGTCGCGCCCTTGAAATGCTACATGAATTATACCTACTGGATCAGCTCGCCCTCTTCCTGTTTGCCCTTCCCATTAACATTGCCATTTCCAGGCTTCTCCACTTCTTCATCGTCACTGGCGCTGCCCACGCTGTACCGCTCCTGCTCCATGTCTTCCGTTGGAGTCCTAACATGCAACTCATCCAACTCGCTCTCATCGAAATCCGCCGCTTCAATATCCCTATTACCTCGTTTATTCCTGAAATTCTCCAAACCCATACCACTTTCTCCCCTGCCAGTGCCGAGCGACATTGGTGTGTCCCCTCCGAAGATACCTGCATAGCCAGCTCGCGCTCGACGGTCCTTCCAGACGTAGTATCCCCATACTGCGGCGGCAATTATGACGATAACAAGCACAATTTCTCCGGACTTGTAGTAGGCTGACCATTTCGCCGCTGCAAGCTTCTCCTTCTCAGCTGCCTCGGCGGTGGTGCTATTCGGGTGGCCTCCAACTGACGTCTCGAGTCCCTTCTCCCCATCAATGCGACTGTCTGTCGGGATCCCTCCGATACTTGCGATGTCGACCTGCATGAACCTATCTAGCATGTCCCTCGTTCGTCTGGCATAGTCGAATGGAACCATATGGGAAGAGTTGTAGAACAAAACGTAAGTTAGATTTCGCGCTTCTTGATAGAATCCTGCTGGCTCGCCGTCGAATTCCCAGTCGCGGCGGGGAGCCCACGTACCGGGTGAAATCTCGAACCCCTTGCCTCCATTCCACTGCATGTTACTGATCAATTCCTCGGTTCCGATATGATTGCAAATGAAATCATCAGCCCCAGAAAATAAGAGTGTTGGCACCTCAGCAATGAGATCGGGTAAGAGTTGAATAGAAGGCTTGGAGTTGCTGGCTCGGAAAGCACTGCCGACTCCACCATTACACTCAGTCCACCCAGTCCGCTTTCCAGGGTCGATATGTAGGGCATCCAAGACATCTTTCCGACGAAGATAAGGTGTAACATTGTCCAAGTCCGGAGGCCAGTTCATTCCACAGCTAGGATAGCTATCCTTCAACTTGATGTCATACATATTGATACACTGCATCTTGCCGTCCGATCCCTTCACCTGGGTATCTCTTAGGATATCCTGAAGGACCTGCTCGCACTGGTTGTTGTCCACATGATCCTTTCCACCGGGCTCTTCCAATGCTTTCAAACATATTGCTTGTTGAGATTCAATTCTCTTGGCTGTATCGCTGTCGCGCTCGATCAGTCCTCGTTCGTAGGCGAAGGAAAGGTAAGCCTTGTATTGTTCCTCTGGTGATATCCATCCATTGCCAATCAGCATTCCCTTAAGTTGCCATGGGTGTGCCGCTCCTGCTTTGTTTCTGTCGAGTATCGCCTTTGCAATATAAGGAATATGTTGGCCAGCATACGACTCTCCAGCTAGATAGAGCTATAGCCTGTTAGTGTGAGACTCAAGAGCAGCTTATAGAAGATGCTTACATCATCGTGCTCATATTCTGGGAAGAGCTCGAACCACTTTTCGAGAAATTTAACAAACTGGTTTGCCATCTCCGGTAGCTCATGAACGTAACTGTCTGTATCCACGAAACTGAAGCCCGTTCCCACAGGGTTGTCTACGAACATGATGTTTGCGAATTCATCCCAAGAGCCATCATTGTATTCCAGTTTTGGGCCCTTCGATTCATCTCCAACACGGTAGGGTCCGATTTCCATTAGCGCACCATCTTCCGAACTGCATCCAGGTCCACCATTCAACCATATAACTGTCCTTTGTTTGTTTCCGATGTGTCGGTTCTGCCAATGCCAAAAGACTAAAACAATATCAGAGAAGGGCAAAATTGTAATATTGAAGGGAGACTTACACATGTTCCCATGGTGCTCTGGGGTGACTTCTATATGCCCTGCGTGCATCTTCAGGAGGGGCTCAGGAGCCCCAGGTAAACTGTGTACGAAATAATCTGCTTGCGACTTCTCTGCATGGCTGACAGACGACAATATCGATAGAAGTCCCCATATCTTCAAAGCATTAGAACCTACGCTCCAGCGTAGCCGCTCTGGAGGGGAGGCAAAGAATCGCATCGTAGATGGCGATTCAGAGAAGGCGAGGTGAGGAAGTAATGGTGAAGGTAGCTCGAGGCTCGCCGTTGCTGCCCATGTAAGAAATGTGGATGTTAAGGCGAAGTGGCTGATGTGTCTTCGGCACTGGTTTCAACACGCGGCCTACCTCAGTCAAGCGGGGGTTCTGCTCAGCCCGCAGTATCCAAAACGGGAGGTATTGTAGGCAGCGAGGATTCGAAGTTTATTGTGTACTCAAGACGGCGGATCTCTGGACGTCTCGGGGGTGCACATTGTTGGATTGATAAAAATGATTGTAAATTTAGAAGCTTCCCATTGTCTCCTCTTGGATGTTATATCCAGACCTCTTTGTCCAATCATGATCCCGACCCATAACTTGAGACCGACACCGACGCATGCTTGGCATCTTCTCCGCGTCCTATTTAAAGCGACAGCAATCTCCCACTTACAGCCAAATTTAGACCGCGATGCCGTGTCAAAAAACAGCTTGCTTCTCATAATGTTGCAGAACAGAGTACTAAACAGATTCTTGAGTCGCCTACAGACATTTTCTGAAGCTTAAGCAGTCTCGGCCTAAAAAGGCCAAACCCATTAAATCTTACTACTGTACCTGGTTCATCTATTTGCGTCTGCTTTGTGTATTTCTCCGTTCCCATCAAGATTCGGTGGTTATATAGTACGGGCTAGTTGTTAATTCGATGGCAACCCCATTATATCTCCTTGACAAATTCTTCGACCAATATCCTTGCTATTCACCAGATCAACTATACTCTTTGTCCTCAGAAATCCGCTCTGTACGGTTAGCGGGCATTTGACATCAAAATCTGATACCTAGACTATCTAGAGGGACTTGATATGAATCCGGGATCCAGAGCTAAGACTGATGCAAGCTATCCAAGAAGACTAGAGCGAACATACCTACCTCTCTTCGTCGAGGGGACAAACAGTATGGTCTAAAGCTATATTTCCTTGTATGAGATGGTTTACCAGACTGCTACTCTCGGCGACTCACAAGCAATATCCAGAGACTGGATCTTAGCCGTCAAGCTTGAAGATGGATAGATACCCTGAATCCGGTTTGCAAAGATGCTGGATGTAGCTCCAAAGATACATTTCGTTACTGCTATGTACTTATGCAGGGCAGTAACGTGCAAGAACATTGGAACATAAGCGAGATCAATTGGTAAGGCTTTTATTATTTGGAAACCGTGCGGGGAGTCGGAAAGAATAAGAAACCTACATGAAGAAGCTGATCTTGAAGTCAAGATGATAAAACACAGCAGAATGCACTAATTGTATGATATGCCCTTCAATTAGGTTATGATGCTCGTATCAGCATCTGCAAAAGCCACGATACTCTCCGCTCGTCCTTGTATATAACCCTTCAGTTTTGGCAAGTAACCACTTATAAACTCTGCTTTTCTATGTAAAAATTTCATTCCTTGCAGCAAGTTCCGCTTACCGCAAAAAACTATATTGGCTGTTGGGGCACGATAACTGGCAGGAGTAGTACAACTAGCTATGGTCTTGCTTAGCACTGCATACTAGTAGTACAGAGTTCGACCCTGCAGCATGCAGCATATCAACCCATGCTTCCAGAAATCTACTAAAATAAATCCCCGAATCCCTTCTCCGAATCTTTCTTGATCAAGTCAACCATGCCCTGTTCTGAGTTAGTCTGGGGGTATCTCTGTGGTGACGCTACACCGGACTTACCTCTGGCATTATTGGCTCTCCGTTGCTGCCTTTTACATATCGAAATGGCATCTCGGTACTTTCGTTTTTGTTGATACGTAGTTCCGGGTAGTCGACGTAAGATATCTTTTCGAGTGGCACTATATCAAATACATAAGAAGGAACAACTTGTTGAGATAGGTTTACTTACCCTTCTCTTGTACAATGATCCTCGTTACTCTTACTGCAGTATCAGTAGTCATCTGTTTTGGGCCCAGACGACGACCTGCAAAACCTTTCTTTCGCAACTCAGAGGTTCTATCTGGTAAAAGTAAGTATCCCGTGGATCGGCACTGTTCAGATACATACCTCTGGGTGGATCATCCCCTAGAATACCACCAAATAAAAATACATCAAATGCCGAGCCATCTTCCGGACTCAACTCCTTTGTTGCCGATGGATCAAGCAAGCAAACGCGAGACTTGTCTTGTACGTAGAGCACTTCAACACTTTGGCCATCTGCCGTGAAACCCGGTGCAGCTTTCAGTGTGGCTGGTAACTCGAGAGATGGGGGAACTGAAGACAAGCAGAACTTTGCACCTGCTTCGTGAGACTCTCTGGCAATTGTGAGATACTCTAGCTCGGACCATGGACCTAGTTCGTCGTCAAGATGCTCCACAATGTAAGTTTTGGACGCCATTGGATTGGTTTAATGGCGGTACCAGCTGCAGATAGATTCGGTACAGCCCAAGTTCAGCAGTAAGAGTGAGTGTGTTCTGATACTGCGGCGAATCAGGTAGCGTGCCCGAAGAGCCGTATAAACAGAGTTTGGCTTCCTGCGGGGTAGATGTCTTGCAACACAGTCCTGGCGAGCTTGTATGGTTCGACAGAGACTTGCCTTTTGAAGCTTCAAGGGTTGACGGAATGAACCCTTAGACAAGCGCTTTCTGGTCTTGTGATGGTGTATGGCCAATGATTTTGCTCGTTCAGATAATCTTTGCGTATCTGGGACTTGTGTAAGCTGCAGCCCTTGAAAGTGGAAAAGGAAAATTGGGATACATACCTAGGTACTGTATGATAAATTGTGAAATACGTACGTCAAGCGTGATGTATCAATCTGACGAAATAATAAATAAATTTGCTGCCAAAAATTATGTGAAAAGATGAAATTCGTCAAGAAAGCTACCCCTCCGAGCCCTCATAGCTTGCCTTGCTTTGATTTTTTTAGCCGAGACATCTTTACAGTATCACTCCCCTCTCCTCTCCTCGACTTCGACTCCACATTTTAGACGTCGAGCCATAACGATATTCCTCTATTTCCTTCCCGAATTATTCAATTTGAAGCACCGATTTTAGCTGGATCATTGACTGGACTCTCCGCGGCGAATAAGAACTATCCAAGCCCACCTCACCACCGCTTTGTTCTTAGAACTGCTATTATCGACTGGGGTGCAAGGATCTCAAGAAATTCAAGGCCCGGCAACGCAGAGCATAAACATTCTTGAGTCACGATATCGAGGTTCTCCAGAAAACAAAAACACGTCCACCCCACCTCACCTAGAGACATCCTTTCTACAACCTTCCTAAACACCACAAAACACCGCAAAACATCCCTAAACACGAACCCCGCACATCATCAAGATGAACCCCCACCAAAAGAACAAGGTCGACATCAACGTAAGCAATCCACCTCTACGATATTCCCATGCTCTGCCTTACATTGAAGCACACTACTAACACATCTGCTACAGTCGCTCTCCCCAGACGAGCAACGCCTCTTCCGCCTCTACGGCAAGCTCCCCTCCAAATCCGACCACCTGGCCAAGCACCTCAAAGAGCGCAAATACTTCGACTCTGGCGACTACGCCCTCTCCAAAGCCGGCAAAGCCAGCTCCGTCGACACCGGCAGCGTCGGCTCCCAGCACCCCCTCCCCGAAAACATCCCACACCTGTCATCGCCCGGCGTAGGCAGTGCCAACCAGGGCGGCAGCGGCAATGGCAATGTCCACCCCCACTCTGGCAGCACGGCTGGTCTGCAGAGCGGCAGTCCGGTCAAGGAGAGCAGCTTCTTGAACAGGGAGACTAGTGTGGATGAGATGGATGATAAGAGGGCTGGTGAGAGGGCAGATAACATCAGTCCGCCTCCTGCGAAGGAAGGTATTCCGATTAGAAGATAGGCTGTTGTTACATGCAGGTCATGGAGGCTTATGTTGTCTGGAGGAGTATGGTGATCTTACGAATGATGGTTGACTTGGCGTTTTGAGGATTTTGACACGGTTTTTGGGGATAGGGCTTTTACTGTGCATACTTGCTCTTCTGACGGCTGTGAATCCGTAGGCTATACAATGCCACAAAATCAAGAGATTGAGTTCTTATGCGGCTCTTTCAGGAAGTTTGATTGTTCTAGCTAGCTAGCTGAGTAGTAAAAGAGATTCAGTCATAACATATGCCCTCGTGCGATTTTCGTAGCTTTTCCAATCCCCAACGCCTGCAATGCTTCTAATCTTCATGGTGAGTTCAGAGATCTAATGCCTTGATAGCCATTGCTATAGCACCATCAAATGTCTTGTTTCCACCAATAAACCCTGCAGCATGCACAAAGACTCCTCCACTGACTCCCGACTTTTCACTTAATTCCTCATCCCTGAATCCCCTCCAAGCTTCTGGCAACGGCTTTCTGCTTTCAAACGAGTCCTTGCTAACAGGAACAGCTTGTATTCTCCATTTGGCATCCAGCGTCGGCTTCTCTGGATATAAAACGTAGAGAACCTTAGCATCACCACCCTCTTGCTCTTCCAAAGTGTACAGATGATCCTTCCATGGCACAGATTGGCCATCAAATACCAAAACCCGTCCCTTTGCGTCATACTCTAAGCGCTTCGCATACGCCTTATGCACAATATCTCTCGCCGGAAGCCATGCCTTAGTATAATAATCCAGATCCCGCGAAAACTCCTCTCCCATCCTCGCACTCGCAACCAAGAACTTCTCATCCTCAGCCTGCTGTGCCTGAACCGGGTCAGAAGGCGTAGGATCGTTCCAGTTAGGGTTCAATCGCGAGACCATGGCGCCTAATGAGAATCCTCCATCGCTGAACTTCTTTTCTAGCCCGGCGGCTGCGATGCCTTTGGGGTCGTAGGCTGAGATACCGTTGTCGTGTGCGTCTAGTGCTTCGATGAAGCTTTCGTAGATCTTGCCGTAGATAACGTTTACTTCTTCTGCATCTTCTGAGACACCTAGATGTTGTGCAATGATAGCTTTGCCAAAGTGCATGTAGACCAAGCCAGCGGAAGAGAGCTTGGTTGGGCGGCTGGGAAATGTGGTCGTGAAGGTCCGCTGGTGATGGTCATATCTGTTTGTTGCAGCATTGTACTCTCCACCAACATCTACGACGGTATGGCAGGTTGAAAGGAGAGCTGGGTCTCTTGTGCGGATCAGTTGAGAGGAGTTGTAGGTTGGTAGGAGGCGTAACATGTAGACGGCGAGGGCTTCATCGGCGTGGAAATGGCCATTGTGAGTACCGATGCTGACGGGGGATGTCTTGAGTCTCTTTGCTGCGGTTTCTGCCATGGTGAAGATTGTCCTGCGATACATACACAGACTTTGGGCTTCTGTTTGGTGGGGTCAAGGTCGGAAGATGTAAAGAAACTTGGGGGCTACAACCCACTTTAGCGCCTTTTACGCCTGCAACTAGTCCATTTTTACGCGCTGGGAGAAGGAAAATCGAAAATACCTCCTCTCGCCTGTTTACAATAGTACGAGTATGAGCTGGCCTTTTCCATTAATCTATTCACCGCTGATTGCCATTGTCTTTGCAAGCCCTTTAAATGGAGCCTACAGTCCTTGTCTTTTGCTACCAACAGGCTGTGCTACTAAATCGTAAATTTGGGCCCTCCCTCCTACGAGTAGAGGCCTAGTCAAATATCAAATCTAAGATCTACGATAGATGCGAAATCCTTGCCAACTCCTGCATTCATCAAGGCACCGCACCTGCACCCAGCAGAATACTGTGCAGCAAAATCTTATCGAGAAAAGTCACCACCAGGAACTTTTAAACCCTTTTGCCAAACCCGTGGTCCTATTCTCCGCCAACTGACGCGATAAAGACTAAGATAGCCCCGTGGCCCAGATAAGAGACATCACGGTGTGGGATTTAAGATTGATTCACGAGAGGCAGAGGCAGCAAGGCTTGACTGGGGACATACCGGTATACAGGACAACAACTCGAGCTCAAGATCAACTGCTAGAGACCGACCTAACGCCCTTCAAAGAAAATCAAGGCTGTATTTCGCCAACACTGAGCTGGGCGAGCTTTACAGCCCGCTGCGGCGCCAACAGTGCTGATGTGGTTCTTTCGAGTTCTCTCCTCCGCTGTATTCCTCCTCACAATCATCCTCTCGATACCTATAGCCTTCGATGTCGGCGGACGAGATTGTGGGCTGGCTTTTTCTTTGAGTTTATTCTAGTAAGGAAGCATCTCCATTTGCCGCCCTTCTAACTACGCCTCGCTCTCTGAACAAAACTAAGAGCAGGGCGGTTTTACTGCTTTTTCTGGAGATCACCGCTAATCTAGACCACAGCTTCTATTTCTTCTTTTCTGCGCTCAAGCTAGCGACTCCGAAAGAGTCAAGGATACGATGGGCGCTGATACAACTTATCAGCATGGCGCAGTGGATTCTGTTACCGGGGCTATTAATATGGAGCATGAATAGGTTTGCAGTTGATGCGAATGCCAGTGGAGACTGGGCTGCAAGGACATTCGACCACAAAAGGGCGCAAGATACCAGCTTCAAGGAGTGGATATTCGGCTCAGGAGGGCTCCTTGAAGCGATGACGGTTGGAACTTGGGACGTCATGCTGAGATACTCGACACCACTTTTTCAACTTGCAGAAGGATTCTGCAGTCTGCTTGTGATACAAGCCGCGGGGCAAATTACAAGATGGCTTGTCAACCGTGGACGTAGCAGCGATACCTGGATGATTGGGTTGCTGGTATTGTCTGCCTCGATTATATCTAGTTCAGTCTATTTCCTCTGGAGAATCACCAAATTCCCAGAGATATCAAACGTGGATGCTATCCTCATAGGAGTCACTATCACCTGTGCGGTGTTCCTCTGTGGGTGGGGTATTGGCAGTGGTAGGGGAAATCCCGTTGAGAGCTCAATGCTCTTTGCCTATGTGGTATTATGCATATACCAGATTTTTACCGACTACCTGCGACCTTCGAATGAGACACCACCTCCACCCGCTCAACCGGAATTTCCTCCATTCCCGCCTATTATCATGGCCTCATACTCGACCTTGGTCTACGTACTGTCAACACTACCTTCAGCAGTACACTCGGGGCTTACCTTCTTCTATGCAGCATTCCAGACTATCACCCCGTCTGTTATCATTTCCCTAGCCTACCGAATATTTGTGTTCTACGCCGCTACACGAATCATTCCAGCCGTGAGAGAATCTGGAGCTCGAGCTTTGTCTGAAGAGCCTAATCTCGATGACAGTGATGGGGAGGGTAAAATTCTAGGACTTCTAAGTTGGTTTAGCCCAAGTATCCTCGTGGCGGTTTACACGAGTCTCTTGATGCAGCACTTTGCTACAGCAGAGGGGAATGGTACCGAATGGTGGACTATGCAAGGGGGCGATGCTGGGGGAAATATCTGGAGATGGATAAATGTAGCTGCGACCATGGCCTTGTATGCCTTGGAGCTGTACCTTGGGAAAGAGGATATGGAAGGATCCCTCACAGGGCACTGGAAGACCGACTGAAGCATTTGAGAAAGGTCTCATTTGTAAGGCCTTGGAAGCATGGGGCCAAGAAAGCTAAAGATCAAGAAAAGAGATCTAGATAAAGTAAAGAGGAGAAGGATATGTGGGTGGATTTGTCGAGGATTTCTACTATGACAAAATGGGAAGCGAAAGTCTGAATGGGTGTAAGGCATTTTGTTGCACTTGGCGGCGTTTGGGACGAGGAAGTCTTCGTAAGCTGTACATACACGGTACTTTGGGCCTGGATGAGCTCAGTTCGTGCATCGAAGCTTGACTTTAGTTGAGGATAGATACCCCCTTTGAGACTCACACCACCCTACACTTAATACACGTTACAAACGGTTTTCGTAATTGGGCTGATGTTCCATGTGAGATGTGGTTTCTTTACATGTAGCCACCACTGGGACGTACGACGCCTGCATAGGTCTAATGTCGAAGTGGTCTGCTCGAAACGGAGAGGCAGAGAGGCAGATGGCATTTTGATGCCACATTCGGTTTGTAACTCTTGTTGCGAGTTGAAAAGGGAATAAAAGGAGCCAGCAAGAACAGTAGGCAGCAGATCGGCATTGGTGTCTGATCATCAAAGCAGGATTGATAAGTACAGTAAGAAGATCAGTCCTAGGTACCGTACCGTATGAATATATCTTGAAGAAACGAGTAATAATCGGCTCTTATTAATCATCCCTACAGCCAATGATATATTTGTTTCTACTTCTAGTCCACCGCACGGCTTCCTCCAGTCTTGTTGACTCGTGGGAGTCGTGGGGGAGTTCCCACAGTGGAGCACACTACGGGTAGTAAAGCGACACTAAGAAGCTACCCCCTGTCTGACATCCTCAACGAGTGCATCTGCAGCACATCGTATCATCGCCAATCCGTCCTCCCTCCATTCAACAATTCATGACCGCCTTTTGGGGGGTTGCGTGTCGTGTCAAAGCTTCAATACAATTTATCCATATTAGGTACTCTGTAACCTTCTCCCCATCCCCCCTTTCCGTCATCTATATATCCGGGTCCATCCTCTTTCTTGTGTCCTCCTTCCTTTTGTGATTTTGATACTGTCCCTCCGCGTGTCCAACCAACCTGCAATCGCACCAATCTCTCTCTCTTATCTCAACAACACCATCTCCAGCTCCAGCTCCATCTCCAGCTCCAGCTCCATCTCCATCTCCAGCCCCAACCTCAATTCCATCTCCAAGCACAAGCACATTATGTCAAGAGTCACTCCACCAGTCAACAAATTCGCCCAAAGCGTTCGAAGAATCAGCTCCACGGCAAATGCTGCCCGCCCTTCAGGTCTTCTTGATTCCCGGGCCAGAAATGTATACCTTCCCCGCCCCAAAAGCGACTTGAAAGATGAGTGCATGAGGCGTCAATTGAAGACCAGCGGCAGCAAATCAGAGGTAATTACAACTCCAAGCATTGAGATGCATTTCTAACGCATATCAACAGCTTGTTGAACGCCTTGCAACATCAGACCTCATCAACACCCATAACTTCCACACACTGCCCAGCGGTCCCCGCCGGCCTACCACACCTCCCACCCCCCAACTCTACAAACCCATTCCCCTAATGCAAGGATTCCGCAGCTCAGCCCCAAAGCTCACAGTCCTTGACCCCTCAGCAGTCGATTACTTGATCTTGCCCAATCCCCCGGCGCCTCCTCCATCAAACCCGTTCTCCAGACTCCGCGTCCCACTACTCCCAGACAACTACAATCCCGACAGAAGTGCTCAGTCAGGCAACGCAGTAGAGACGTTAGATGAAGCTGTCCCGCGTCCAGAAATTAGTATCATAGCTAGCCATCCCGAGAACGTGGCGCCTGCTACTATTAGCGAGGTTGTGGGGAATGATGGGTTGGATGTTGATATCGGGGAGTTGACGACCGCTGCTTTTGGCGCGAAGGAGGAGAAAGAGTCGGGGGTCTTGAGGGAGTTGTGGAATGGGTTCGTCGATGATGTGCTTGGTTCCAAGGGGGGTTCGAGTAAAGTTGCTGTTTAGTGTGACTTGATGTTTGTGTTTTCTTTATCGAGCGATAAAATATTTGGATCTGTGATTCATACTTTGGAGAGTTGTTCTTTGTGCTTGCTTTTGTTGTTGGGGGCTACTTGGTAGCTTTGCAGGGATTCATGACGCCGATGCTGGCTTTCTTAAGGCGTTCTACTTCTTGTCCCTTTGATGGCTCAGATTGAACTTTTACGTATTCCTATTAATCGAAAAACCTCAATGGCACATGACATCACGTGGATTTACGAAGACGTATAGTACATATTTCATTTGAGATGCATACTACACTCTAAAGTCACTTATTGTCACGTCACATTGGTAAACCAACCGAGCACTCAGTCGAGAAACCAAGTGGTAGAGCAACGAGTATCTCGTATTACCTGCCTAGTAAGACAAACCCATGCGATAACACCATCCGCTCAGCATCGACGCACAAGAGGACCATATCCTACACGTCTCGGGGGACTCATGGGAGACCGGAGAGCGAGTCCAGCACCAACACCACTGGCCTATCTGGCAGTACCTGCGGCGCCAACGGCACCGCACCAAGCCCAACTCCCCTCACAGCCATCGCAGAATGCACTTTCATCTTCCTACTCAGCAAATGGCCTATCCCACTGAGCCGCATTCCCCTCAAACCCATTACCCGCATCCATACGCTTCAGGTAACACCGTCCCATGCCCTCAGCCAGCAGCACATCCGTCACGAAATGCGAGCCCCTTTACAAACATATCCATACATACCCATCGCGCTATCGCTGCGCTCCGGGCATGGTGTTTGTGTTGGTGGTGGTTGCTAATTAGATAGGTAGGTTTTGATTGAGCAATGGACAAGGGAATGTAGGAGAACTTTTATACAAGATTTCTGGACTTGATTCGAGGTGTCGAGTCCACTTAATAGCCAATCATTACCACCATCCATCGAGGCGGATAAACAGAAGTTATTCCTAGTCTTTTATTTGGAATTCTTTATTTACCGTTGCGAGCAATAGGGTATCATCATTAGCTTCGAAGTTGTCTACGGGGGTAAAAGACAACTGCTGAAGACCTCAATAGCTACATCTAAGCATTCTGTCCTAGACCTGAATCTGTAATACGAGTTAGTACTTGCTCTCCATCAATTCATTGGGATGTATATCAACATACCAACCTGGATTTTCTGTCCCGTCATTGAAGAGTTCTTCGCAATATCCACGAATGCTTGAGCACAATCCTCTAAATCCGTCTATGCACCCGTTAATATTCACATGCTACAGAATAAGGACTTCAACTCACATCCTTCTTCAACCAAGACTTCTCTCTCAAATCCTCGACACGCTTCGGGTCATACTTCGTTCCCTAAACCCAGCCACATCACATTAATTACCATTCTGAACTCCGAACTCCACGAACAGAACAGAACAGAAGTATACATACCCATTCGGTAGCCAACCACCCAGGCAACACAGCATTAACCCTGACCTTCGGACCCTCGGTGCTAGCCAAACACCTCATCAAATGCAGCTGCGCAGCTTTCGTAACACTATAAGCTACACGTCCTCAAAACTACCAGTCAGCATTAATTTTCTTCCAGTAACCATCATCACTTCCCCAACCCCTCAAGAGATTATAAGGAAAGCCAAGCACATACGCATCGAACTCCCCCCCGCCGTAACCCCCGCAATACTACTCGTGATAACAAAAACGCCTCCCTCAGGATTCCCCTTGAACGTCGGCGCCGCCTCGCGCATGAGGAAGAACTGCGCCTTCACGTTGACGGCGTGGCAAAGATCCCAGTCTTGAGCGGTGGGCACGGTGAGGTCGGAGAACGTGGAGAAGCGCGTGTAGCCTGCGTTGGAGATTATGATATCTAGGCCTGAGAGTTGGGCGATTGTGGTGCGGACGACGGAGATGCAGTCTGTTTCGATGCCCATGTCCTTCTTTCATGTTAGCTGAGAGAGAGAGAGAGATGTTTAGGTTTGTGGTTGTATTGACTTTAGCATAAATATGATATGATGTGATATGGTTTTATAAGTAGTAGAGATTTGGAGAATCTTGATGCGGTTTGGGGATAGGAGTAAGGTATGAAAAAGGGAAAGAGGGAAAGAATTGGACGGATATGAAAGTAAACATACCCCTTTAACAAGCACGGCCTTCCCACCAAACCTCCTCACCTTCTCCGCTACCTCTTTTGCCCGATCTTCACTCGCATTATAGTTGACCGCAACATTGCACCCCTCAGCTGCGAATTTCAAGCATATGAGTTCACCTAGACCACTGGTTGCAGCTACTATTAGCGTTTGTATTAATTGACTGGTGTAATAGGGGTAAGGTAGGCCTGGTACGCAAGGTATATCTCGTCCTCTGAGAGCTACTTGGCGAAATGCGGGGTAAATGGATTGGGGGCGGGACTCTTGCACTTCTGGGCAGCTTAAGGGGGAAAGATGTGGAGATACTGACCGTGATCCACCTGTGACGAGCACGTTTCGGCCTTTGAGTGAGTAGGGCATTGCCGGATATTATTACTATCGTGAGGGTTTAGGGAAGAGGTGGGAATAGGAACAGGAACAGAAATGGGGAAAGTGGGGAGAAGTTTATTGACTGGGGTGGTACAACTCCAAGCCGCCAAGTCCGAGTGACACGGGACGCTGTGTTGGATCTGAACTTTGGAGTCGGATTACTGTTCCGAGTTATCGCTGGGTCGATGATACTGTAAATGGGGCGAGTGGTTCTGCTAATGGTATTGGAGAGTGGCTAGGTCTGTTTTTGGGGTTTTGTAGTTTACGATGGTCTTTAGAAGTTGCAAGTTGCAGTATCTCACCTCGGTGTTTGTACATACAAGGTCACGATAACGATGGCGATATGGAACGTAGAAGTACTGGGCAAATCCTCTATGCCTTTGGGGAAGCTAAAGAGCTAAATCTTGATAATACATCTGGTCTTAATCCTGCCAGTCATTTCATGTTACGCGGATCCACGTCCCGTACAAAGAAGCTATATCTGCCATCCGCCAGCAGACCATCAAAAAAGTACTGTATGTCCGCTAATATCTCGAGGCAGTAGTAGCAACATGAACATCTGAATCGATTAAACGCTTTTCGGCTTATCATCCTCATCAATGCTACCCTCAGAGCTTTCGGTGCTGTTAGTGTCGACACGGCGAGTCTGGGGAAGCTCCTCTAGATTGGCACCGTGGATGTCCTCTTCAAATACAGGGTCGGGCTCAACGTGTTCGAATTTGGTCTTGAAGTCCTTCAGGCCGGCAGTATAGCTAGAGCTATTGGAGCGACGGCGAGCATTGGTGAGGTTGAAGCCTTCGTCCTGGACCTCCTCACCATTGACACCCCTAATTAAGTTAGCATGGTGTCATTGTAGGGGGGGGCTGTGAGGCATTGAGAAGTATTATACTTGACTTGACTTGGTGTAGGATGTAGGATTGTATGAGACTCACCATCCGCCCTTGCCGGCACCATTCTTCTTTGTCTTCTTGGGGTCGACATCGACATGACCTGACTTGGCGAAGTAGCGGGGGAGGTGTTCAGATGCAGAGGCAGTGCCGTCAGCGAGACCGGCGTGGTCGCGGTCATTGAACTTGTGTGATTTGCCCACTGTCAATGGTAGGGTGGTTAGCTGATACTGTAGTTGAAGCTGTGTGATCAAGGGATGGGATTGGTCGCACGAGGAGATGTAAGTATCAAGCGGAGCTTTGCTGGAGGTACTTACTGATGAAGAGAGGGTTGGAAGTGGAATTGGAGGTGAGGGGATTGTTATTGGAGATGTTGAGTTGTGGTTGATGTGTTGGACTTGTTTGTTGATGAAGGAGGATGAAAGGAGAAAGGAGAAAAGAGACGTGTGAAGTTGAGTTAATAGAAGTAGAAAGGCGGGGTGGTGCTCGTGTGACTTTGGGCTCGAATTGCACAACTGGTACTAGGTGGTTCGATTGCGTTGCTAACGAAGGGAAGGCGAACGGCGGAAAGCGTCACCACACTGCACTCGCGATAGTATTATGGGTCTTTAACTTTCCATTCAATTCCTGAGTCCTGACTCGTTCTTTCCCATGATTCGTCTCGTGATACCGACTAAACATCCAATATCAGGTGCCTTTTCTTTCTCTACCTGCTCAACTGTCCCGCTCCAAATCTGGGGTAAAGGTACATACAGTACAGTACAGTACAGTACAGTACGGCAGTGCAGGCTCCACACGAGGTACAAGGTACATTGCCCCACTCACGCATGCCCACACCCACTAGCCTGACTTGGACTGAACGTCACTGGAGCGGCGATCGGAGCCGCTGCTTTGAAATCCCCGTAAACACCAATAAATTTTTAGATTTCACTTCCATCGTGCCTCCAAATATACACTCCATACACTCGAAACCCTTCCTTGAAAAGCCTTGAAAAGGAAAGAAACCACTACTTCCTATCCGTTACGCCATCCAAGACGCTCTTTGGGTAGGCACAATGGCGCCCTCTGTCACTATCGATAACGACTCTGATTTCACCCCGATCGCCTCCTTCCCAACAAAGGCCTCCTCTTACAACGCCAGAACCCTCCTACTCGCGCCTCCCTCCATATCCAGCCACGAAGAATCCTTACGAAATGTTCTTGCCTCCCACGATAGAGCGGTCACGGATCTGCAGATGCTCGATCGCCTCTCTGCGGGGCTTGTCACACTGCCTGACTCAACCTACGACCTGATCCTTATTCTCACTGATGCCGATGGGACACGAACCGAGTCTGCACAATTGCTTGGAAGGGATGTATTTGGGAGAATGGTGCAGGCGTTGAAGGCTGGTGGAAAATTACAAGCGCAAGATGGGTCTTTTGGTCAAAATGCCACAGAGCACAGAGAGTCTATTCTTGCAGGGCTTGTCTTAGAGAGTGGTGGGATGGTCAAGCCGGATTACAGTGCAAGTGAGGCTGTGCCTTTGCGGTTGAGGAGGAAGGATAAAGGCGTTGTTTCTAATGCTGGGCCCGCGGTGGCGACAACCACCGTGCCGTTGAACAGCAAACGAAAGAGCGTGGATATGGTAACGAGCAAGCCAGCTGGTGTTGGGTTTGTAGATTTCAGTGATGATTTTGGGGATCCTATGATTACTGGCGAGGATGACGACGATGAGCTTATTGATGAGGATACTCTGCTCACCGAAGAAGATCTCAATAGACCTGTCAATATCCGTAAGTTGGGTTTTCATATTGACCCTTCAGAAATGTACTAATCTTTCCTAGCACCCGAATGCGCCCCACGAGTTGGCAAGCGCCGCCGAGCATGCAAAGACTGCACCTGTGGTCTTGCTGAGAAAATCGCAGCTGAAGATGCAACAACACGAGCAAATGCAGATGCCCAGCTCCAGACCCTAAAATTAGGAGCTGATGACCTTGCTGAGGTAGATTTCACTGTTCAAGGCAAAGTAGGCTCTTGTGGGAATTGCAGTCTTGGAGACGCTTTCCGTTGCGATGGATGTCCTTACATCGGCATGCCTGCTTTCAAGCCTGGTGAGGAGGTCAGGTTGCTCAACAACGATGTGCAGTTGTAAATTTTGTCTTTTGGATTGGCGTTGCATAGAAAGATCTGCCGTGCTGATTTACACGGACTTGGCTGGTTGATGCTTGGAAAGCGTCCCACTATGAGTAGATGAGAATATATGATTATCGAGAAGCAGCGTACAAATTGTCTTATCTGGGCCTCTACCGGATTTTCCCTGTATTTTCTACCCCAAGCAAGTGCTGTCGAGTCGAGTTCTCTTTATCGACAGAAGCCTCCAATTTCTTCCTTCAATCTCCTAACAGACGAAACGTGCTGTTAGAAATGCATCATCTTTTCGTTGCATGTATGAATAGCAACTGGATCCTTTAGCCACTGATACTACTTTTGCCTCCCAAAGTATAAGGGAAAGCTTGGGACCTTCTCATTTGAGTTCGATCGTTTCTAAGAGTAAATCGTACCCCTCAAAACCGGCCCCCAACGACAAGAAAAACCCGAAGAACAACCAATCCATGTAACGGGACCGTGTAACATGTGGGGGCTCCATGCTATTTTAATCAACGGCAGCGGCCCAGCCCCTAACTCAACCAAGCTTAACTTCCTCCCCTAATGAAGCACGAAACAGCGAGAACCTCAAATTTCTGGGGGCCAAGAACAAGATCCCCATGGAAAACAACTGCGTTACTTCTTTGATACATGGAAATTTTGATAGACAAGTCTACACTTATTGGATACTTTTGCTTTATTTAGTTCGGACTATTTTTTCCGGCGAAAATTACTATGTATCTTGCGATTAATATTGCAACTCTGACAACAAATCTGTCGTCGTGCGGCTGAGGAAAGAAGAATACTAAAGGATTCAAACAGCCCCACGAGGTCTCTCAAAGGATGAGCCAGATAACGGATTATGGCCTTTTACTTCTAGGTTCCGGGTTTATACTCTTTTAAACTTTCTCCAGAGTTTACGTGCAATTGGAATGGAAAATACTCATCATGTCAATATCTCATATACTACTCCTACCCCAATTCCTTCGATTACAACTACTCGCCATCCTACTCTTCAGCAGCACTGTCCACAGCCTCGCGCGCTTCACCAACCCTCCTGGTCCAGATGGCGCGCTTCGCCTCACCATCGGCGACAATTACACCATCGAGTGGGAAAATGCGGGGTCGGATTACTCGTTGCTGTCACTGGGGATAGAGGCAAATGCGGATGGGAATGTGTATTGGCTGTTTGGGAACGAGAAAGATTATACGAGCGAGAGTTTTCTGTTTAATGTGAGGCTTGGGAATGGCATTACATTGGATCAGGGGAATATTTTCTCCTTTATTATGGTTAATGGGACGAGGTTTGGAGAGAGGGTTATGAGTGCGCTGTTTGTTGTTGAGGGGAATAGTGGGAGTTCGAATTCTTCTTCTTCATCGGCGACAGCAACAGAGACAACGATATCGTCATTGATGCAGAGCTCCTCTTCCACATCAGGCACAACGACTTTAATGCAGACCTCAGACTCCGTAACAACGACGTCGACTCCCATATCCTCTGCGGCTCTCGCGTCTGCAACAGACACACCCTCACAATCTCCGCCCACTTCTCCCCTCCCCATAACAAACGCAACAGGAACAGGCCCGCCCTCACAGCCCGCCCCCACTGCGCATAGCCTTTCAAAAGGGGTGAAAATCGGCATAGGAATCAGCATCCCCCTCTTCGCCATACTCGTGCTCTCCGCTCTCATTTTCTTGTTCCGGCATAAACGACGCCACCCGAAACAAGAATTGGTGCATAAACATGTATATGGTTCCTCTCCTTCGCCATCTTTGGATCTGAATCCACATACACGGCAATTAGAAAATCGGAATATGTATAGTGTTGTAGGTGGACGTGGAAGTGGGAGTGGGAGTGGGAATGAAAGTGGAAGTGGAGAGGTGTCTGAAATGCACGTACATGTACAAAGTCCACAAGCAACGAACAATGGATTTGCAGCGTATAGGGGTGGAATTGAAGGTGGGGATGGAGGGGTGTCTGAGCAAGTACGGAGCCCCCCATCCCCACACCCACACCCACATCATCTTCCACAGGAGTTGGAGAATAGTTATGTACGTGCGGGCGCGCCGAACAGCCAACTGCAAAGTGCGTACCAGAGGGATGTGCAGAATAAATATGTGTATGGTGGGAATGTGAAGGACCAAGAGATGCAGATGAAATATGCGTTCATGGGGGCTCCTATAGGTAGTAGGAGGAGGTTGTATGAAGCGCCTTGAGGTGGGGATATTGGGTGGTGATAGAGAAATTTGGTTGCGAGCAGGTTTTTGAGATAAGACACTGGTGAAGCCGATCTATGAAAACCAGGCGGTTGGGTGGAGTTGATGTAGAATATGATTATATATAACTCATTGTGAGGCGGGGACCAAGATGTAAATATAGAGAGCGGGCGTAGAAGTCCCTTGGTTGTACAATATTGCTTGGATCGATATAAAAATCTGATTTGCCGTTGATCACAACCATCAGGTCTAGTCGCCAAGGAAGACATCTGATTAGTCTATACTGCTAGAGTAGAGTGAGTTATTTGAGGAATTTATACTCCAGCACTCTCCCGAATCCCCACATATGCTAGACCGCCCAAGTACTTAATTGCCGTGGAAATCAATATGCTAGAGGCGAGATAAAACGCTAGCAGCTTTCGTTTTCTCCCCCTCTATCGTGACCTGATTCACTCGAAGAGCCGACTTTATGTTGCAACGTATATAGATAGCATCCTCCCTCTTGCTACCGTGTTTTTCCCAGGCCAGTTTGATGATTTGGTTAGAGGGATCTGACTCCTGTGGCACTGGTGCCGAAATATAGACATCGTCAGGGATTTTGGAAAGTGACAAAATCTGGATATCTTCAAATATGACCCGTTTCACGCTTCCGTCATCAAACTGGAAAGGGACCCACAGCCTCCCCAGAGCGCGATGGAGGGCGAATATGGCACCGGCTTGCTGCCATTGGTGCGCTTTGATCCTACTGCTCTCTTTTGTGATCTTAGGAGCGGGCTCGCGGGTAATAATAGCATTTCGCCCGACATCTACGAGTGGTGGGACAAAAATTCGGTCTCGTAAACCGTTCACGAGCATTTCGGCGGCTTGTGGTTTAATCCACTGCAGCAAGTCGTCATACGTGCAAGTCGTTCGTTTCGGGATTGTAAGACCAGGTCGAGGAGTTTGGGCCAGAATGGTTCCGTGATCGAAATGTTTCTCATGCAGAGTCTGGAGCGTGACACCAGTTCTGCGTAGTCTGTTCATTATTGTATGTTGGAGTGGTGCTGGACCACGGAACCTATTGAGTGAGGTTGGATGAGAAATGGGAGATATTAGGGAGTACGAACCTTGGTAATATAGATGGATGGATATTTAGTCCTCCATACTCGGCACGTTTGAGAATCCTGGGAGGTACAAACAAGCCGAACGAGACGGCTATGATGATGTTTATTGACTCATTTTGTGGTTGTGGTAACTGGCAGTTATCAGAAGCTTTCATTACACCAGCTGCTCATTTTGACATACATCCCAACCCGTAAAAGTGTCTCTCTCATGTACTGGAAGTCCTAAGTCTTGCGCAACAGCTTTTATAGGTACTGGAAATTGTGAGCTTCAGACACACATAGGTAGGCGGAGCAATTGAGCAGACCTTCTCTGATTTTAGTCATGGACCTTCCACTCTTCTTCCCAGGACGGCACAGAACGTCAATTGAGGCAATCAATTGTGGGTTTACCTGCTGCTCTCTATGGAGAGCCCGCAGTGATGCGCAACTGAAGTCATCTGATCCGCAGAAGAGGATCCGGAGAGGCTTGGATACTTTGGATGTATACCATCTTCGTCCACGGGAATTAAGGCCCGAAGGAAAGGATCGCGAGACGCATTCAAGGGTGCGGAATGGCAGTAGCAACTTCATGCCGTTTTGTATGTGTTATATGTTCTCTGATGGGTTACAAACAAGTTGATAGAAGCTCATCGGGCTACCGTGTGTTTTGCTTTATAGGTTACTGCAGTATAAATTTGACGAGTGGTGGATGTAGAGAAGGACCACCAGTTAATTAACTACCTGGTATCGCTTATTGAGTACATGATCGTGCTTGACTCTTCATTTTAATCGGCTCCAATTGTGCTGTGTCATGAGAGAAGGTGAGAGTGAAGTGAAAAGGGGTTGCGTTGCGGTCTATGAACCGAGGATGTTCCGGCCGTTGGTCGTGGTCGTGAGTCGTGATTGTTGATTTTGAGGGTCCAGGAAAGCCAAGGCACGCCACAACTATTGACATCACGATAAGTGCCCAAACCTCTCTGAATCCTGCTTTTCGCGATAATCGTCGTGCCTCAATAAGGAGATATCTACCCTGTTACAACCAACACTGCTATTCGAAATGCAATGTCTCTGGCCGCGGAGCATCTCTCTGGGAAGATTATTCCTGCCCAGCTGAACTTCTTGGCCATCTACAACCCTTCCCTAGGTACTACCGACGACACTCTCGCCGACCAGATTGTATACTACTATTCAGCCAAATCCCCGGAACGGAGTAGGCGGCGACAGAGTTCTCGCTCACGGATTGAAGAGAGCAATGCGCAGCTTAGGGAAATAGGGCTTGCCCAGGGCATGGTTGAATTTGGCAAAAGCTTTTCAAATGGCAGATCCGTGGACACTATTGAGACTGAGAAGTCTCGTATTGTCCTCCACGAATTGGAACCTGGCTGGTGGATATTAGCTGTTAGTAGCAATATCGCCTCGGATTGCTATTGCTAATAGCTTCCCCAGTCCATCAGCTTAACTGTGCTTCCAGGCAAAGCAAAGGAGCCAACGACGAAAGGCAAAGGCCCCGAACAATACGGCCCTCCAGAATACTCTTCTCGCGAAGTAAAGCCTGCAATATTGCTACTTGGGGATCTCCTTCGAGCACACTCGACTTTCCTCCTCCACCACGCTTCTTCGATGAGTGCGCATTTTGTCCGAACAAAAAGATCCAAATTCATTGGCATACTCGGCCGTTATTGGGACACATTTTTGACGACATGGAATGTTCTTTTGCATGGCAATCCTGCAAATAGTTTGTACGGCGGCATCAAAATCGCGGCCTGCGGAGAGCTTGGAGTCGGCGTAGGCGAGGAAGAACGAGGCAGCGGGGAACGTGAGGTTCTCGAGGGGTTTGTCGGCAGGGTAGATGGGCTTGTAGATATTATAGTCTCCAGATTTGGGGTTGCCGATGAAGAAAAGGTGGCACAGACTGAAACTAAGAAGAAAGATGCAGCTCAACATCCTACAAACCCCTGGCTTGGTTCCGGCAATGATCCTGCTGCTGAAGATGGTGCTATCTTTCTTGGTACTGGAGCATTGTCGAGGAAGTCACTACGAGACGTTTCTCACTGGATGGAGGATCTCTATAGATGGGGTCCTTATGCATACGGCGTCGTGGACAACCCGACTTCGATTCGCCGCGTTAAGATGCGTGCACCAAGCCGTAAAGAGTCCGCCAAAGAGGACGAAATGGCAATAATTCCACCGAGGCCTATCGTCGACGTCGAGCAATCTCATAATAAGTCGAAGCGTAAGCTGCTTCGGCCGCAACCACATCGTGGAGCTTCTAGTCATAACGACACTGATAGCGAATCGTCCAAGAGTGCGTTTGTTCATTACCTGAAGCTGGGCTACGGCACTCATTGGAGCTTTGGTGGGACTATTTCAAAAGGTGGAGGTTTACCTGAGAGTCCTGGATCTCAGACTGAGACTCAGACCGACCGAAGTCCAGGTAAAGCTATAGATTCCACTCTCAACCAACGGACGAGGAAAGCTTCACCCGCAGGCCAGCTTACCATATCAGATGCGTCCCCTTCCAAGAGTGACCCCCTTGGCCATTATCTCATTGGGCTTCTGGGCGCAATCGAGGACGAGCATGATGACAAAGAAGAGTCCACCGAAGATTGCCCTATAGATTCTTCGGAAGAAGAGAATTCACGATTGGTGCTACGGACTCTGACCCTAGAATCAGAGAGGGAAGAAGATGCCCGTACTAATGGGGAGATCAGTATTGACCTGGGGAACACTGATAACGAGACCATGTCATCTAAGCATACAAGCTCAGAGCATACTGCCACATCAAACACATCTTTTGAAACCCAGGACCGAAACAAGACGAAAAAATTACGTGTCGTCGTCTATGTTCACAAGCCGTTCATTTTCGTCCTCTTGTTCGAGCTAAGAGCAGATGCTCTCGCTTTCCCCGGCCTTTACCGTTCCTTGCACTATCAACTTGGACCTCTGATAAAGCCGTTGCTCAATTCAACAACCTTTCGACCTTCTAAGCCGAGTATGGCTGCGACAGCTACCAGCGATAATGCTGATGCGCCAATCTATGACCTTGTGTGGGATCCGAGGCGGTTGACCATCAACTCGACTATTCCAAACATACCAGATCCGTTCCACGTGCAGTCTGCGTCTCTTGTTTCACCACCATGGTCTCGTATCGAAGCTCTAAACACACATATGCAGATTTTGAATACCTATACCTCTACCAATTGGGAACGAATCGAAATGGAGCGAACCTGCAAGACTAGTCGGGGCTGGTGGGTGGTATGGACTAGGATACCTGAACCACCACAAGAACATCCGCGTACTTCTGGTCCAGTCAAGGTTCCTGGGATCATTACGGAAGACAGTACTGGGGCTAGCACATATCTGGATACAGGAGCTAACAAGTCTCTTGGTACAAGCACATTTGCTGGTTCCAGCCTTGTCTCGGGTCCAGCTCATCCGTTTTTGAATATAGCCTCCAGCTCACAGGAGAACTTACCGAAAGACAGAGAGATATTCTTGATCCGCAGGGCAAGTGATCATCCTTCCCAGTCAGCCAAAAGGTTTGTCAGCGGTCCCTCAACCACTGGGGAGTCAGGCTGGGGTTCCGGCCCAGCTAAACTAGCACAAGGGATTGGAGTTGATACAAAAAGCTACATTGAAGGGTTGTTGAACCTTAACCGATGATTCTGTAATATAGAAATACTCGTAGAAAATACCTCTGGAGAGAGGTCTCCAATGTTTAAAATGGACCGTTTAGCGACGTTTTCTCGGCCTCTAATTTAGATCCTTGACGTTTTGCGTTTAATGTCTTACTCCATCATAGTGGCAGCTCAGTGCCTTGAAACTAGTCAGCGGGACTGGCCCTGCCCCACGTTATTTTGGTGACGTAGGCGGAAGAAAACATTGTATTTATTCAAAGTCTTGCTGTCTTTTTTTTATTTGATATGAATCCTTTTCAGTTATTGCTTCCAAGTTGTTTGATTCCCTTCCAGTAATACAGTCAACTCATTGTAAGAAGCATTCAGGTAAGACCTTTTTGGAAATGTCGCCCTCGAGCAATGCTGACGGAACTATCTAGGCTGCTCGTGATCAATTGTTACATTTGCATTCCTTCAACTTCATAGACTCTTGACACTTGAATTTATCATTCAAGCTTCTGTCGCAATGGTCGCCACCGACCAATTGAGAGCGGAGAAGCTCTTCTCTATGAAAGGCTACATCGCAGTGATTACCGGTGGAGGTACTGGGATTGGTTTGATGTACGAAGTTTTCCATTCTTCACTTCAGGTCTGATTAACGATCGAAAGGGCAAGCCAATCTCTTGCAGCCAATGGCGCCAAAGTCTACATTACAGGACGTCGTATGGAAGCTCTCGAGAACGCCGCAAAAACCCACTCCCCAGCTCAAGGAGGAAGCATAATACCGTACCTCTCCATGCCTCCTTCTCAATATGTGACTTAAGCTGAGGCATCTCTAGCGCTGGACCCTGCGATGTAACCTCCAAAGAAGACCTTGAGAACCTAGTCACGGAGATCTCTAAAAAGGAAAAATACATTGACCTCCTAATCACCAATGCTGGCATCTCGGGACCAAAAGCTGAGCCGGTAGACGAGGACGCAACGAAGCTAAAAGAAATCCTCTTCAACTCCGAATCCTTCTCCGAATGGTCCACTACCTTCAACACCAACGTCTCTGCCGTCTACTTCACAACCGTAGCCTTCCTGCCCCTCTTGCAAGCCGCCAAAGAAGCACACACCCACTTCTCGCCATCCGTAATAGTCATCTCCTCCATGTCCGGCATCATGCGCCATGCTCAGGGGCATTTCAGCTACAACGCCGCCAAGGCAGCTACGGTGCATTTGAGCAAGTTGATGAGTTTCGAGTTTAAGAAGGCGGGAATTAGGGTTAATAGTATTGCGCCGGGGTATTTCCCGAGTGAGATGACGACAAATGAGAGTGATAAGAATCAGAAGAGTGAGCTGTCTGAGGAGAAGATTCAGGAGAAAGGTCATGTGCCGGCGGGTAGGGCAGGGAGTGATGAGGAGATGGGGATGGGGGTGTTGTTCTTGGCGAGGAATAGGTATGTTAATGGAGAGATTATTGCTATTGATGGTGGGGTTTTATTGGAGATGCCAGGGAGGTGATGAGGTATGGGGGGTTGGGGGTGCTTAGATAATTGAGGAAGATATTAGAGTATTATGCATTAGGTGAAAATTCAAAGTTTCCAAATCATTTCAAAGAAACCTCATAAAGGCATTACCTGACCAATACCTTTGATTACAGATCTTCCCTTTCCTAGGGGCCAATACCAAACTCCGTACCATCAGACATACCTCATCATTTCATCATAAATTTCAGTCCTCTTCAGTGCTGAATGACCCCACTGACTTGTCCTTCCTCATTCTCCTCATGCAGCTCTCTTGCAAGCTCACCATCCAGATGCGAAGCTTCAGCTCTCAATCTATCAGCCTCCCTCCTATACTTCTCCCCCCCTTCTTCCAACGTAGACGCCTCAGTCATCATTTTCAACTTCTGCTTTTCTCCCAAGCCCAGCGCTGTAGCAGCTGTTCGGATCGCAATCGCTTGCGCCTCCTTTCTTTCTGCAGCGCTGTCCATTTGCACGGCTTGTTCATGGAGATGCTCGGCTCCTTGAGAAACTGGACTTGGACTTGGATATCTACCCAGAATCGGCGGTACGGAAAGACCTTGGGTGTAAGGCCACCCGCCATGCATTGCGGAGATCCCAGGGGGGGCCTGTGGTCGAGAGAACGGTGGCTTTATGAAAGGTACAGAGGGAGCTCTCCCAAACGGGAATCCTCGCGCGCTCGGTGGGGTTTCTGGGGTAAGTATTGGCATTGGTACAGCTGGTGTAGACATCGGTAGATGGTCTCTCGATCTCGCCCAAGGTGGACCGTGTCTGAACTCTCCCTTGTCTTTACATTTCCTCTCATCTTTCCTCGCTTTACGATCCTCTTTCTTCGTGTCCCTGCGAGCCTTTCGTTGAGTTTTCTTAGCTGCGCGTCTTGCCCTCCGGTTGACTCTCCGCTGTTGCTTCTGTACGCGTTTCTGTTCTTTGAATGTCTTCATTAGATCTCTTACTTCTTTCCTCAGAGCAACTAAATCTTGCTGGAATTGCTCCGGGCTCTCGGTTCTCGCGGTCTTGATCTCTCTTTTCATGTCCTTTACTGTGTCTTTGGTAATAGGTTGATCCGGGTGATTTAGCCAGTCAATCAAGGATCTCCGAGCGACTGGCAGCGCTTGTTCTTGAATGTCATCGTAATCTGGTAGAGAGCCAACAGACGACTCCACGTCTGATGCATCGGAGTCAGAAGAGCTGGAACTAGAGGTTGATGCAGAACGCCCTCGATGTCGGTGGTGGTATCCATGCCGACGACCACGGCCACGGCCTCTCTTATGATGCTCATGACGGTGGTCGTTTGAATCTCGCCGTCCAAATGCCCTTCCTCCAATACTCACTCCATGGCCATCGGCGACGAAGCCACGGGCGCCACCTAGCCTAAGCCCACTCTGATCAGCGACAAACATGTTGCCCATGCGGAATCCATTTGCAGAAGCCTAGGGGTTTGCAAAATTAGTATGGCCAAACGATTAAGAACTAGATTCCAAGGGGCTTGGGTCTTTGGATGCCACCTAACGGATAAAGGTGTCCCAGGATGAAACAGAACATGAAATACAACATACCACAAGTCCGTTCTTGCCAATACGGAGCCCCTCATTATCAGCAACAATCGGTCCCATCCTGAAGTTCCCAGAATTCGCCTCCAGACCAGAAAAACTTCTTAACGAGCCAAACAAACCTCTTCTGCCTCCACTACGATTTCTAGACGCACCACCGGGAGTCTCATGATCATAAGGAACCCAGGCGCCTGGCATTTGCCTTGTTTCTTCATCAGCAGCAACCTGGGTTTTGGGCTCGTTGATCGCAATTTCGATCCCACGAGGCTTAAAGAACCCATCATTCCATTCCGCAATCATGGCAAAGGTTGCAGAATGCGATTCTGTGCTTCTGGGTGAGAGTGGTATGCGCAACGGATCTAGTTGCGCATCAACTTCACTTATATCCGCTCTAGATCTATCATCTCCCGGACCAAGCGAAAGCTGGTGCATCCTTTCTTCCACGAGCTCCTGCTGGAACTTTCGATCTGCCACATCGTTGTTGACTGCTGCGATGTGGTCAGGTAGCAGGTAGTTTACGAATGTTTGCCAGTCTTGCTCAGTAACGTCTCTGATAGCCCAGCCTTGCGGATAGGGAAGCTCTTCTGGCCGTGTCCGAGGCGTGATTGTGAGATTGTAGGTCATCGCATGAGCTGGTGATTGCCCATGTACAGGCCGTGATTCAAAGTAGACAGCTGCTGAGGAGGTAGAGCCATGCCCAAAGCCATCCTGGAGGCTTTCTTGGTCCGATGCTGTGGGGGAGTGCAGAGGCGTGTAGATGACCGAATCGTCTATGGAAGATGCAATAGAGAGTTGCCGGTGGCTAGCCACAGAAAGATTGTCTGCTTGAGAGGTAGCTGGCGTGAGATTAGGATGTGACGAGGTATTTGAATAGATATCGGTTTCGCTATAGGGCGGGGGTGGAATAGGATCCATCGCGAATCGCTTGCTTTGATCAGAGCTAATGCTCTAGATTTCACGTCTATGCGGCAAATATATGCCAGGTCTTTACGAGACAAATAGCATATGAAGAGGTGTACGAAAGGATGCCAGGTATTTTGTTATACAGAATAGAGGCATTCCGGAAAGTCTATTTGCTGTTATATCATGGTTGAAGCTCAGCTTCTGAGCCTAGGTGAAAGGCCCCTCCCCCTCAGACAGGGATAAGCACTAACTATTATAGGGTTTGGTGGGCCTTAGATTTCACTTGTAAGGCTGCCTATTTGTAGTCCACCTATCAAATGACCCTCACTCATCGCGACCACCTCACACCTCACAGTAACACTGCATATATTCGATGACGCGGCTTCAAGGCAGAAGCTTATAATCAGCAGGACTGGGCTATCATTTGAGGAGATGCGACATGCAATATTGACTCGAATTCCTAGGTAGACTTCCAGCCGCGAGGTTCCAGAGAAAATAATCATGGCTGTATGGAGTAGTCAACTCTCTCTCGTGAGTTGTCCTGTTTAGCCCGAGTTCAAAACTGCGGCAATAAATGCTCCCTCTCCCATTCTGGCTTGATATCTCTCCTTTGACGGTAGCTTATTTGAAAATATACTTTCGAAGACCGTGGACCGTGGGTGTTTCCCAGGCGTAGAAAGATATACAAGACTGCAATTCCATGTTCCACGTACATTTATGCTAAGGACTCCGTAGAATTTCAATATGTTTAACCCTTTCAGCAGCCGCGTGGTGCGAGAGTCACTACCCAAATTTTGATATAAGACTTTCGGATGCCGATAGACTAAGAAAATAATCCCAAGGTCAAATACGGAGCCTGGATTCCATCTTCCGTCTGTATTCACACTATAATAATGCGATGGAACTGTGTAGCTCGACGTAACATTGGGACGAAAAGAGCGAGGAGAAATTGGAGACGAATCGTTGGAGAAAATCTGCCCGAATCTGCCCGATATTTTAAGAACATTTCGTGACAGGTATTACAGGAGTCTTTGCTGGGCTTGATGCTCGCTTGAGCACAACGAATAGAATTAGACAACTGGAAGACAACAATATTTCTTATTGGCACTATACGGCCCCATATTGATTTCATGAAACTTCATTGCTATTTCAGTGAGAGAAAGCCGAATGTAGCTATAGTTTAGGAGTATTCGAATTCAAGGACTTGATATTTTTTGGGCAGCTTGATATCTCGATGGTGGAAACCACGGCTCAATACCGCCTCGTCCGAATCTGCCGAAGCAACGCTCACATCATTGTTCGCTATTTCCATCTCATGGGGCTTCTTCTGGCGACAGGGCCTGCACGCAGCTACTTACCCCCTTTCATACTGATATGCAGGTTTAGTTGACTAGCAGCTCTGTGCCTTTGGATCGGTCGTTACTCGACTCCGTAACGATGAAACATGACTTTCTGACTCGGCAGTACCCAAAAGCTAGCCGCCAAGGTTCTGTAATCTTCTACCTCACATACATGATGTTTTCATTGGAGTTCTGGCTTATCGAAATTGATGTCTTCGGTCTTGTAATGGTCGGCGACGATTCTGTAAAGGTATGACGGCGCATGTGCTCCTCTGCAATGAAAGTTAGTAAAATTCATAGGAAGATTGCCTCAGGACACTTACATATTGGTGATATAGAGATCCACCAAGTCAGGAGGTACGTAGTCATAGACAGGATTATCGACCTCAAGGTTTTCTACCAAAGCACCATCCTGATATCTTACAATGTTTCCAGGATCGCCATACTCGATCAAAGATTCGAATTCGAAAGGGTACTGCGGACTGAGCTTATAGACCCCACTAACCACAATCACAGGAGTTCTGTGCACTCTGGCAGCTTTTGCAATAATACGCGCGCCGGCAGCCGCAATTAGGCCACCATTTGCAATGACTGCATGAGTTGCCAAGATGACCTTGTTTACTCTCGACATGATCGCAAAAATGGTAGCATCGGTCATAAGGATGACGGTAATCCCAGCGTCAGAAAGAGACTTTGAAAACTTCGGCGTAGTCAGCTCATCCGTACCCTCGGCGTCTGTTTTGATAGACCTAGTGACTGATTTGTGGGTTGCCTCGTGATCATTTGGGTACGACTCTGCAATGATGACAGTAAACTTCCTCTTCTTGGCAGCCTCCAACAAGAACTTCTGAACACTCCTTGATGACGAATGCGTCAGTATGACCTCGTTGGAGTGGATGTACTCTAGAGACTGCGCAGCGATTCTATCGTCCGCTTGGTCAAGTTCATCGACGATCTCTTCGATGCCTTCAATAACCTCTGCCTTCAAATCTTTCGTCGATGTTGTTAACCTGTGAGACAGGGAGGTAGCATTGAGGTTTGATGTGTTATGAGGAGACTGCGCGCCTGAAGGAGATGACGCCGGCGACGGATTGGCAGATAGTAGTTGGAACATCGACTTCTGTGGTGGAAGTCCACCTGCTGGAGCATATGAAGTATGAGATGTGATTAAGGGAGGGCGAGAAGCCGCTTGAGTCTTTCCTCCGAACACGTCGTCACCATTTGCCTCTGTAGAATCCGAGTCATCGGTAGTACTGTATCTAAGGGGACTGAAATTTGGAGGTGGTCCTCCCAAATGTGAGGCTCCTTGGTCGATATGTTCTTGGCGGGGGGAGCCCATCTGACTATTTGATGCGGAATCGCTGGCATCATCGTTTCGTTCCTCCTTGGCTTCATCTCTAACCATGCCCAAAACTCGACGAACTATGTTCCCCACCACCATCTCCCTTGGCTGAGCCTCGATGAGTCGTCGGCCAACATCCTGTATCCGCTCAATGAGCTTGTCGATGTTGGTCCACCTGAATTTAGCGACTACTTGGAGAAGTAGATGCGCTGTAGCCACCGCACAAGGTCTCGAATTTGTGATCTGTCTGCGTTTGAGAAGTCTGGTAGGTGTCAGTCAGCGCGGGGAATATGATAGTCGCGTTGAACCTACGAAATCAAGTTCTCAATGGACGACTCTACTGGCTGTGCCTTCAAAGACTTCAAATAGAAGCCCAGATTCGGCGCATAGCCAGCCTGTAGAGAAGGCATGACGATGAAATCTAGCACTTTGTCAAAGATTCCTGTTGTGCTGCAGTCTGGCGCAGCTGTGATGTTTCGTGGAGGGGTATTGGGTTTTTTTTTTTTAACGAGGTGCAATGGCGCTCTGTGGAGGATCTAAACACAGCTTGAATTCCGAATATATATTCCTCCGGTGTGAGGCATTAATTGGAGCTTGGTGAAATATTTTCGCGCGGGTTTGTGTCTTGTATTGGAGTTGCAGTTGCAGAAGTACAAGTACAGAATTGTGACTCCTCGCATCTTTTTTGAAGCTCTCTTTTAGGTCGGCCTCGGCGAAGTTGAGCGCCGTCGCAACAACCTGGTCTCAACGACTACATCGACATCCCATACATAAATCGTCGATCACCAGTCCGAAGGCAACGTCTATTGTCTACCCCGAGGTCCCTTTCGCCTTTTGTCCCCTTCTGCCGCATGCGTTTTCCTCGACTTTATTGTGCATATATTCATTTCAGAGGCGATGACCTGGTGGCCCGACATCAGCTAACCTATAGACAAAGGACAACAGTCCGCGACAAGGGATTGGACGGACCTGAGCATTGCTAGTCATGCCAGTTAGTGATACTTTTACTTGAAGATTTCTGGTCACAATAGTACTGGCCCTCTTTGTGCAAAGGCTGGTGTTCCCAGACTTACTCTATCTCGAAAACCACCGAAAATCCCCCGCGACACCTCCTTCATGGCTCGATAATACGATGAACTCACTGAATATTCTCTCGGCACGAGTGTCGCCGCCGCAGACTCCCGCGCCTTCTCGGAGTAATTCTTATGGCAACCTGCTATCATCTGGGGAAGGGTCCGGGTCTAGAAGGAACTCTAGAGGGGACATACTGAGCGAGAAGGTCGAAAGTTCGGAAACCGTTGGAGATATCGATGATGATAGGGCAGTCTACGAGGAAACCCCTTTGTTATACAAAGAGTCGAGCCAGATTTCGCTCCCTGAACCTTCGCGCTGGCATATGATCCCCAAGAGGATATCTCATGCTGTAATCGAGTCGATACGCTGGGTGTTGTCTACTCTAGCTGCCCCAGGCGTATACCTCATAGCATATCTCTACGACGAGCGAGGGAATTTTGCGCCGTTCACGCAGTTGAGGAAACTTGGATCTGGGTTTTCAGGGAGCGCACGGCGGGGTTCAACTAGCCAAGCAGTTGGCATCTCAGCAATCGACAGGGAAAGGATTGTAGGGGATCAAAACAGCAGGAGAAGTACACGTCGAGGGTCTGTGAGGGCCTCTAGAGCAGTGCCGTCGAGTTATTCTTCATCTGGGATGTCGTCTGAATCTGAATCAGACAGAGACCGAGCAGCTGCAGATGAAGAAGCGCCTGGAAGCTCAAGCCGACATACTAGATCGAAGTCTCTACAAACTTCTGATGAAATAGCACCAGCGAGACGGTCCATTCGGATTAAGCTCCACAATGAGGATACCCTGAGGCAAAGGAAGCATCGTCGGGCGCAGTCCACAAATACCCAAAACAGTTCCGGTGCTGTGAGGGCCGGGGAGATAACACCGGCTACTCTCAAATCTCCAACTTCTCCGGCTTCTTCACTCTCCATGACGAAATATCCCCGTGCGCCAGTACCACCAAGGCCTTTGATACCCCGCCGACAGCCTTCTTACACCATTCCTGAAACTCCTAGTGGACGATTGACACAAAAGACTCTTGTTCTTGACTTGGATGAAACTCTCATTCACAGTATGGCTAAAGGGGGCCGCATGAGCACTGGTCATATGGTTGAGGTAAAGCTTAATACTCTCGTTGCAGCCGATGGAAGTTCGACGCTCGGGCCTCAGCATCCCATTTTGTATTATGTGCACAAGCGACCTCATTGCGATGACTTTTTACGGCGGGTGAGTAGTATTCATGCCGTAGGGGAGCTATACTGACCTTTGCTAGATTTGCAAATGGTACAACCTAGTCATTTTTACAGCTTCGGTTCAAGAGTATGCAGATCCGGTGATAGATCTATTAGAACAGGAACGTAAATTCTTCTCTGGTCGATACTACCGTCAGCACTGTACATACCGGCACGGCGCCTACATCAAGGATCTGAGCTCTGTAGAGCCTGACTTGAGCAAGGTTATGATTTTGGACAATAGCCCTTTGAGCTACATGTTCCACCAAGGTCAGTTGCCATTCCCCATGCCGCAGAACCAGGCCCTGATTTTGTGTAGATAACGCGATACCCATAGAAGGGTGGATAAATGACCCGACAGATAATGACCTTCTTCACCTGGTGCCTCTATTGGAAGGACTTCAGTATGTTACTGATGTGCGGTCTTTTCTTGCACTACGTGGAGGGGAGGATGGAAAGCATGCAGTATGACAAAATTTAGTAATGGATGCATATTTGAGTGCAACCGTCTTGAAGAAAAGTGATTTGTTACTGTTGTAGTCCAAAGATTGTAAATGGTTAAGAATACGGGGACTAGACATCCATAATAATGAAGAGACTACTGGGAGTGGTCTTGGTATTGTTTGTGAAGTGAAAGGGGGGCATACTGTACTAATCCTATCCGGGGAAAGCGGCCGCTAGCCATCCCATCTCAGTCAGCCTCACTGCCTAAGATCTCTTTTTTTGGAACATCGTACCCCTCCTTTTTTTATTTTCGGGTCTAGAGCTTTTCAAGCTTCTGAGTCAAAACATCTTATATTCTTTCCCAATTTGCTCCCCCACACGACCCTAGACCCAGATCATCAAGAGCATGCGATAGCAAGAAAGGAATACTACCAGGTAACTGGACATTTACGAAGTTTCCTCATGATCCGCCCGCGATAGCACATCAACATGCCAGCTCTTCTAACAACCGGGTACGAGGGGAAGGATCAAGTCGTGGATAGGATTCCAAAACGCTTCAAGGAATTGAAATTTGGTATTCAGTGCGTATGCCGGTTGCCATCTGGGGGTCTTTACTCATTCACCTTCCTACAGATCGAATCAAGATATCGTCAACCAAGGAGTCCTCGAAATAACCGATCGCATACTCTACGATGTTGAGAAAGCGCGCATACCTGTGGCAAATGGAGCATTGGACCCGCACTTGGTAGGCTTGGCTCATGGTTATCGTCTCAAATAGTTCTTCGGCTGATGGTTGGACCAGGGGACCTCTAGTAAATCCGGAAAATGTGAGACGTGTGGGGAAGGACTGAAGAATTGCAATGGACATTTTGGCCATGTGAAGTTGGCACTTCCGGCATTTCATATTGGATATATGAAGTTGATTATAAACATCTTGCAAAACATTTGTAAAGTATGGCTCTTGATATTTTGGAGGGGTGGCAGGTTTGACACTGTAAACAGGATTGTGCCAAAGTTCTGCTCACCAGTACGGAACGACGAGCATTTCTCAAAGAGTTGAGACGACCAGGTATCGATAACCTAAAGCGTACACAGATCTGCAAGAAAATCAACGAACAATGTCGCAAGGCAAAGATATGCCCCTACTGCAACGCACACAATGGCCAAATCCGAAAACCCGCTGCGCTCAAGCTTGTACATGACAAATACCAGGCATACACCAAATCTAATGCCAAGAGTAAAGTAGAGCCTGCGGCCTTGACTGCTTTCAGAAGTACTTTCGACGAGATCAAGAAGACCAATACTGAGGTAGACAAACATCTGAAAAAAGCGATGGATGATCTCAATCCCCTCAGAGTCTTAAATCTATTCAAAATGATTAGTCCCAGCGATTGTGAGCTGCTTGGGATCAACCCCGCGGAGGGACGACCCGAAATGTTCTTATGGCAATATGTGCCAGCTCCTCCAGTATGCATACGCCCGTCTGTTGCACAGGAGAGCGCAAGCACAGAAGATGACCTTACCACGAAATTGGCTGAAATTGTCCACATCAGTTCCCTCATCCGAGCCGCGTTGCAAAAGGGCCAACCATTGCAGACTATTGTTGAGCAATGGGACTATCTTCAATTGCAGATTGCTCTGTATATCAACAGCGATGTTCCCAACCTCCAGCAAGTCGGCAATGGAAAACCTATTCGAGGATTCTGTCAACGTCTTAAGGGCAAACAAGGTCGATTCCGAGGGAACTTGTCAGGAAAGCGTGTGGACTTCTCCGGACGAACAGTCATATCGCCAGATCCTAATCTCGGAATTGACCAAGTTGCTATTCCAATCCTGGTCGCCAAAAATCTCACCTATCCCGAGCGGGTTCAGGACCATAATATCAAAAAGTTACGCAAGTGCGTACTCAACGGTTCCGATGTCCATCCCGGTGCCCAGCATGTCATAAAGAAGGACAAAGACAATGGCGAACCTGGTGATACGATTAGTCTGAAGTTTCCCCAGGTCCGGAAGAGGCAGTCACAACAACTAACCGTGGGCGATGTTGTTGAGAGACATCTCGAAGATGGCGATATTGTGTTGTTCAACCGGCAACCTTCGCTACATAAACTCAGTATTATGAGCCATTACGTCAAAGTTCGACCATGGAGGACCTTTCGCCTGAACGAGTGTGTATGCACACCATACAACGCCGATTTTGATGGAGACGAGATGAACTTACACGTTCCTCAGACGGAAGAAGCCAGAACGGAAGCTATCAACCTCATGGGCGTGAAGAACAATTTGTCAACTCCAAAGAACGGAGAACCGATCATTTCTGCAACCCAAGATTTCATCACCGCTGCGTATCTTCTAAGCAGCAAAGATAACTTTTTCGACCGAAAGACCTTTACCAATTATTGCATGTATATGGTAGACGGCAACGAACACCTTGATGTACCACCTCCGGCAATATTGAAGCCACAGGCTCTGTGGACTGGAAAGCAAGTGTTCAGTATTCTCATGCGACCAAATAAGCAGTCTCCGGTCAAAGTCAATCTTGATGCGAAATGTCGAGACTACAAGGCTAAAGCCGGGATGTGCCCAGACATGGATCCCAATGACGGCTGGCTTGTGGTTCGCAATTCGGAGGTTATGTGCGGTAGAATGGACAAGACAACAGTTGGATCTGGAAAGAAAGACTCTATATTCTACATCATCCTCCGAGATTTCGGCCCTGATGCAGCCGTCATTGCCATGAACCGACTCTCCAAGATTTCAGCCAGATATCTAACGAATGAAGGTTTTTCTATTGGTATCAGCGACGTGTACCCTTCGGCAAAGCTCACGGACAGGAAGAACGAACTTGTAACAAAAGCTTACGAGGAATGCGATGACCTAATTCGGAAGTTCAAGGACGGAAAATTGGAGAAAGCCACTGGTTGTAATATGGAAGAAACCCTGGAGAACGAGATCTCTGGTAAACTAAGCATAGTCAGACAGCTGGCTGGAGACTACTGTATTGACACGCTGAGCAAGCATAATTCGCCGCTCATTATGGCAAAGTCTGGTTCCAAAGGTTCTTCCATCAACGTCGCCCAGATGGTAGCTGTTGTAGGACAGCAGATTATTGGCGGCCAGCGTGTCCCGGATGGTTTCCAGGATCGAAGTTTGCCTCATTTCCCAAAGAACGCTCGGCAGCCTCTTTCAAAAGGTTTCGTACGAAACAGCTTCTTTACGGGACTAACCCCTACGGAATTCTTGTTCCACGCTATATCTGGACGTGAAGGTTTGGTTGATACCGCTGTCAAGACTGCTGAAACCGGATACATGTCTAGACGTCTCATGAAGTCTCTCGAAGATCTTTCTACACAATACGACGATACTGTACGCAATTCTTCGGGCGGTATTGTTCAATTCCAATTTGGTGCCGATAAACTTGATCCTGTCGATATGGAGGGTTCTGCCGTACCTGTCCATTTCGACCGCACTTGGACACACGCGGAGAATTTGACTTGGAATAACGATGATCGATGCCTGCTGCCCTACGAGATTAAGATAGAATGCGAGAAGCTCTTGGCTAATCAAAAGTCGAAATACGCTAGGAAAGGCCTACTCAGACAGGAGCCATTGGAATACTTGGACCAAAGTGACTACGCTATCGATGAACTCGAAAGTGCTCGGGATTTCGTAGCGACGATCACTAAATACGTTGGTGGGCTGGCTGAGAAGATGGCTAAGGCACGGATGCGAGCAGGGCTGAAAGACTTTGTTGATGCGCCAAAGAAGTCAAACGAGCGTCACGACAAATCCAAGGAGGAAACGGCTAGGAGAGATCAGGTGGAGCGAGTCGCCAAGGTCTCTCAAGCAACTTTGAAAATGTTCGTGTCGCTCTGCCTCGACAAGTATGCAAAGGCGCATGTTGAGCCAGGTCACGCAGTGGGTGCTGTTGGAGCCCAATCTATCGGAGAGCCTGGTACACAGATGACTTTGAAGACTTTCCATTTTGCTGGTGTCGCTGGTATGAGTATTACCCAGGGTGTACCGCGTATCAAGGAAATCATCAATGCCTCCAAGGTTATCAGCACGCCAGTCATCACTTGCCCCTTACTCAACCGGGTGGAAGAAACAGCAGCAAAGGTAGTCAAAGGACGTATCGAAAAGACTTACATCGGAGACGTCCTCCGCTTCATCGAAGATATGTGGTCTGCTAAAGCCGCAACGATGTGCCTCTCTGTCGACATGGACCTCCTCAACAGCATGCATCTCGGTATTACCGTCGGGCACATGGCCAATGCCATAGTCGCAAACAAGAAGCTCAAGATCAAAAGCAACGACATCTCACTTGTCAATGACTGCATCTTCGTCCGCATCACGCACGAGAGCGGTGGGAACATGGGCGCTCGCGGTCCTTCAAGCAAAAAGCTCGACGAGCCAGGCTCAGATCTCCTACTCCGCGTCAACTTTCTCAGACGTGTACTGCCTACTCTTGCCATCTCAGGCTATCCAGACGCTACTCGGGCCATTATCCAGAAAGACAAGAATGACGAGCATACCGTACTCGTTGAAGGTTATGGCATCAAAGCATGCATGACGACCGAAGGAGTCATCGGCACGAAATGCACGACCAACAGTGTCATGGAATGCTTCCAAGTCCTCGGCATCGAAGCAGCACGTACGACAATCGCTAAAGAAATTGCCGGCGTCATGGGAGATATGGGTATCGATCCTCGACACATGCAACTTCTTGCCGACGTCATGACATATAAGGGTGAAGTGCTTGGTATTACTCGATTTGGACTGTCTAAGATGCGAGACAGTGTTCTGCAGCTGGCATCTTTTGAGAAAACTCCTGATCATCTTTTTGACGCTGCGGCGGGCATGAAGACGGATCAGATTGAGGGCGTGAGTGAGTGTATTATCATGGGGCAGACGATGGGTGTGGGGACTGGTGGGTTTAAGGTCGTTCAGAGCCTTGAGAAGCCAAACCAACCGCTCCTTGTTGGGATGAAGACGACGCAGTTCGAGGATGCTTGGAGATGGGAGCAGACGGAGAGGAAGAAGCTACGATAATGTTTTCCAAGGGATGGTAATTTTAAGGTGTGTGATTTAAGCGTGCATGGTATGGCGTTGAAGGAGAGAAGGAATTCTGGTCTAGCAATTAGGGCGTCTATATCCCTTTGATTTCACAGGAAGCAACGAATTATGTAGAAAAAATATAAGCTGTAAAACATCGCTTCCTATCCATAAATAATCATATAAGCGTAAACGTCCCACTCGTCCCCTCGAACGCCGTGACAGCCCCACCAACACTCTTCGAATCCCCATAATACTTAATCCTATACCCCCCTTCTCAACCCACTCCTCAGTATCCCACACAATCTCCACTTCGCTCGTGCCCAAAACCTCGCTGATCTTCTTCCAGTTGAAGACCAAGCTCCAATCACTGTCATCGCGCACTCTCTTCCACTTTCCATCCTCAGTGTCCAGTTTCTCCACAGCGGCAAACGTTTGCTCAAGCCGAAGATTGTTGCGAGGGTTGGCGCCTATAAACGTCACTTCGACTGTTGAGCCTGCTGGATATGAGGCTTTGACATCCTCTTTAACATCGCCGTAGGATTTAAATACCGGCTTGCCGTCGTAGATGACGCCTGTGATGAACGAGAGTGATTTATTAACGTTGTTTGGCGGCGGAGGCCCTGGAGCTGGCTTCGTGCGTGCGGAAGAGCTTAGATAGGGGAGGTATTTGAGCGTGAGGTTGATGTAGGCGTTTAGTGTATAGGGGCCGTACAGTGTAGATGCACCTTCGTAGCGCTGGATGCCGTATTCCTCTGGTGTAGCAATGTAGTGTGCGTAAGAATTCGCTGGCCCGCCGATAACGACTACTGGATCAACATCCGAGCCGGACAGTGCAAGGGAAGCAGCAGAATCATGTACTGCTTCCTTCCACCGTCGCCCGGACATCGTCGTTGCCTCACCTGGACTGACTATTATAACCAGCTGCCCAACACGCAGGACTTGAACGTCTACGACGTTTGGTGTCCACAGGTAAGGCGTAGTTATTTCTCCTACATCGAGTAAGATTGGCTTCGGGAAATGGCACCGTTTCTGGTGCTCACTCGGCTCTTTGATGAGGCCTGAGACTACCCGCCATACAGGCGAGGCATTGGGGTCGTTGGGGTCGTTTTGCGTGAAATCAAACGCCCCTGGCCCATCTGTTGTACCAGCAGCAAATGAATAGCCCAGCGCTGCCGGGCAGGTATTGACATAGCTCCCATTCGCCAGCGGGAAGCTAAAATTCGACATATCCTGGAAGGTGTGGAAAGATTTGACTGAGGATCCTGTGACGGGAGTGCCCTTTTCATCTAGGACATCGTATAACGCCCTCGCAGGTTCGAACTGTCTTTTCCCAACCTCGAAACAAGATGAAGCACCGTTGTCTTTGGTTTGGAAGAAGGGGCCGCGCGCATGGCAGTATTGAGATTTACCATTACTGCAGGTGCTATTCTTGAAGCTGCATTCTCCTCCGGTCTCGTCTTCGCACCAGGCGCCTAGGACGTTTGGACTTGTATCACCAACATTTGCTTGGGAGAAACCTGCCACGAACCCTTCGGCAACATTGTCGTCTGGGGAGAAGCTCTTTTCGAATAGATCTGCAGCTACTCCTTTGTTGTCCCCTGATATCAGCGTGTTGTTGCCTAGCATGGATGTTCCGTGAGTCGGGAACCAGGTGAGAACACCAGTACTCTTTCCATCTGAAGCGCGCTGGAATTTCAGTAGGGTCAGAGTCTTCTCCACGCTTCCATCATCCTCAGCACTAGCATTGTAATTTATCCTTTCAGACTCCGGATTGGAAAGATACGCATAGAGACTGCGGTTAATATTCGCACCAAAAACCTTGGTCGACCCAACAATCAAAGTACCAGGTTGAAGGCTACTATGTGCTCTCTGGATAGACAAAACAGCACCATCAACAATAGCCCGGTAACTCTGCTTATCAAAGCCTTTGCTCGTGATCTGAGGCAGGAGATAATTCAACCATGCTCCAGGTCCAGAGTGAGAATGCGTGCCTGTTACAGCAACGTTATGCTGTCCATAAACAGCATAATCCCCGCCAAGCTTGGCTAGATCTTCTAGGATCCCATACCGAACGGCGGTATCTCCAGACTGGGTGTCTAGGACTAGATAGATGAAGCGGTCATCTGGGTGCTTGATATCTCCTACGATGAAGGCTCGGGAGTAGAGACGCTGACGAAGACCTGAGCCAACTTGCTTAGTGTCTGCATATCCCATCATGTTTATCTCAACCACTGGACTGAAGTAGAATTAGCAATCTACTCTCCAAATAGAAATAAAATAAAATAACAATTACCCAGTGATATCCGCCTTTCCAACTCCGAGTAAATATTGGCTTCCTCCAGACTGCTCATCTTGCCCAACACCACTATTCTGTTTTGCATCCCAGCTCCAAAACCGACCATTTTGATCATCAAAAACATGAACCAAACCCTTATATATCAAAGCCAAAAAGAAAAGGCCCAAGACCAGTTTTCCAATCAGCTGTATTACTCTAGATCGTCGTTGTCGAGCTGATCTCTCTGGAGTAGTGAACTCGGAAGGACCGGCCTTTGCAACATTCACTGGATCCATAGCAGCTAGCTACTGTTAATAGTAAAGATGTATGTATGTATCTGTAATTTCTTTCCCCTTGCGAGGGGCGGTTGTGAAATTCAGTTCATTCTTTTACGAAGTTATCAGAGGAACCATATATATCAAGCTCAAGCTCAAACTCTCGATGATGCATCCACGCTACAAAAAGCATGCCTGAAGCGCAAGTCCACAACACATGCAGCCTTAGAAAAATCGCGTCTCCCTCAGACCCTCCATCAAATCGAAAACTCCACACCTAACCAACCATATCCACAACTACAACAACAGACAAGAAACACAAACACAAAAATACGATACAATCATGTCTTCCGAAACCCCAATCCACGATTCCCTCCCCTACATCGACACCGCACCAACGCCCTCCCAACGCACCGCCGCCCAATCCCTAATCGACGCCGAGACCGAGCTCCCCAGCACAGAAACACCACACCACCCATCCCTCGCCCCCCTCGCACCTCAATCCTTCTCTCCGGTTTTCGAAGCAGAAATGCTACGCATAGCCGCGCAAACCCCACTAGACGCCATCGACCGCACACGCTACGAATCGCTCTCTGCCCCCTCCCCCCCCTTCACAACCACAGCATGGCAGCACACCCTGAGCGCCGCCTACACATCCTCCACCTACCTCACCGCGCGGTCCACAAACCTAGCCCTGCTCTCCGAGTTCGGGAAGAACAGCTGGTTAGTAGGAAACGCGCAGCTGGAAGATATACTAAGGGGACTGGAGAGGGAGGTCGAGGACGTGAAGACGGAGATTGATGGCGTGGTGTTGCAGAGGAGGGATGCGCAGGAGGGGGTTAGGGGCGAGGTGCAGGGGCTGAGGAGGGTGGCG